TGTAGTACGCAAAGCAGTCCTCGCCGATTACGATTTAGCCGACCCGACAGTCTGGGTGGTAATATTGAAATGTGACGAAGAGAGCGTTAGCTGCGCGGACTAGTCGTAGTATTAGGTGTCGCTTACTCCATGTACTGCTAGTTTCGCGTGTCCATTGATTTGGAATGAATCCCTAGCCGCCGAAACCAGCTGGACATTACTCGTAATGGACACTCCTGGTTGCTTCCGTCTTCCGGTAGGTACTGTCTTTGTGACCACCCACAGAATTAGTATACTACGTAGTGTACTCCGTAGGAACGAACCAGCGACTCAGGAGTTTATTTCCCGAGCCAAAGCTCGTGGTTTCTTGGCGTGGGTGGCCCGGGGGAAGATCAGTGCAGAACTAGAGCAGAATTGGATCCTCTCCTCATACCTGGTAAGAGAGAGCTTGGCGAACTATGGCCCATTGCGGAAGCCTAGACGAAGGGGCCAGCAGCGAGACGCTGGGAAGGGTGGGGAGGGGGCGCTGTCGCTTATCTTCACGGCCGAAGTCCACATGGCCGTGGCGGAAATGCTCCGTAGTCCGTCGTAGTAGTAATAATATTAATGAGGAGCTGGGATGGCAAGCTGCGCCATGCCCAACAATGATCGGCTGGGATCGAAACGATAGCGTGCGTGGCCGGTTTTCCGACCGTTTGGAACCAGGCGCCCCGTCATGGTGGGTTTCACAAGGAGCGACTGCTGCGGCCGTCTTCTTCCTCTTATTTTCCCTAGTGCTCGTAAAGCTATCTGTTCTGCGCTCACGGGCTGCTTCAGGCCCCGGCTGACTTTTCGACGGCGCAGTGGCTGACATCCAGACGGGAGTCTAGGCCTCCCACAGGCAATGATGTTGCAAAGAATTAAATTAACATCAGACATGCTCCGCAAAGGCCGTACGAGGGGGTTTCTGCAAAATCCAGAAAATGAATCATCGTCAGCCTGGTCGATGTGCATGAACGAGAAGAAATGAAAGGAAAAAAAAGCAGGTATTTGAGGCTGTCGCTGATGATCAAGATTGGTTATAGTCACGCGTGCTTCCCTCTTCAACAGAGGAGGGAGATTATTAAGGAAGAGAGGCCTGTTTGTCCTAGGCTGGCGACCAGACAGGGATATTTCTGCGGTTGGAATCCTCCCAACAATCCGGACTCGAGTACGCGGTGGGGCGCAATTTGTGTCTTGTGCCAGGCCTGGAAAGCCGTGAACCCATCTGACACAAGAATATCCCCAAGTCGCGAGCTCGCACGGCCAGCAATGGAAATTGCTACAGGCCACTCCGCATTATCAGGCGTCATACCGGGCTGGCGACCCTGGTCGTCCGCGAGAATAATTCGGGGATATTTGTAGATCATAGCCAATCTGCTTATAGAACTGGGCTTGACCAATTTCCCTACTCGGACGAAGTAGAAGATTTCCTGGGGAGGAGCAGGCTGCCCATGGCGTGGTGGTCTCTGATGGTGGCGGCAATGGCGAAAAAGCCACAAGAACCACAGAGCCCACCAATGCCAACAATACTCCGTACTCTGTATGTAGTAGTAGTTATGTACTATTTATGTAGTAGGGGGGGCGCGTGTGACCGGATGGGAGCCCTGAACACTTGACAGCCAGTTGTGTTTCGTATCACCAACAGCCCAGAAGGAGAAGGGGAAAAAGAAAATTATTGGACCAATGGGTCACCTCCTGAATTCCCACACCTTCTTCTCTTTCGCTGGGGGCCATTTCTTGCTGGCACGTACAAGGCCTTCAGGGCCCCAGAGCCACTGCCTGCAGATTCGACGCCCCCTTCGGTGTCACGAATGGATCATAGACGACACAATTTCGCGGAAACCCATCCTGAAACTTGATTTGAATTTGATCTGCATTCGTCATCGGGCTCCCACTTGTAGTCGTCAAGGCCCGCGGTGTCCTACACACGGCGTGGAAAGGAAGGGAACGGCGGCAGCAAGCCTGCAACAATACCTTGAAGAGTTAGCAGTGTCAGGATCGCCCTGCAGTTAACCAAAATGGAGTAGAAAGTAGATAGTTAAGTAGTAGTTAGTTAACTAGCTAACTAACTAGGTAACCAGTTAGTTAGTTAGCCAATACGTAGGAGTTAGTAACATACATACGTACGTACTGCGTACAAAATTTCATCACACGGACGGGATCGTCCCGCCCGGCCCAAGATTTGGGACATTGTCAGGGACGAGGGCGAGAATGGAATCCTATCCACGCTCCGAGTTGCCAAATCGCTTGTATGGGGGGGGAACCTGTGGCTTACAGCACGCCACACGCAAAGGGATCTTCCAGAAACAACAGGCGAGCTCCGGAAGGAAATACTGGTGGTCAACGTCAGCCTTCCACGGTTTATCAATGACTACTCGAGCTTTGACCCACTGATAAAATGCTAGGTACTCCTGTCTGTCTTGAAGGATGAGTACAGGGTACCTCTCCGTATGTCGTGAGTGTCCTCTGAGTTGCAGACAGAACAGATGGCCTCGACGTGTTCCTCTGGCTCACCAACAGGGCAGGAGTGCCATACACGTGATCCGACGGTGCTGCGGGTACGCGTTGACGATGTCGAACGTGATCTACCGAAGAAGTTAGTTAGTTACCTATTTTGGTATTACAGAACTACATCCTCCATCCTCCGGGTGTACGGTAACGGCAAATACGGCGGGCGTGTTTTTTATATTTTGATATTTTGCGTACGTACGGTACGCATTACGCAAGGCGGCAGGACATCTGCCTCATCATATGCGCCCTCGGTATCAGGCAAGTAGGTATCAGGTCGGTGCTCCGTAGGACAAGAGCATGCGCGTCCGCTTATTGTTCGTGGAAAGATTTGCCTGCCGTAGGTGGGACTAATGGAAATGCTATTTTTTATGGCATCGCGAGTCATGGTTGTGTGCACTGTACAGGTTTCCTGTGCCGCAATTTATTTCATTGCCGCCGGTCTGTCAGACTAAGGTTACGCAATCCCTCAAAGCCCAGGTCCATAGCGGAGGGAAAACCGAGATTTGAGAAAAATAACACTACAGCAATACTACATAAACTACAATGAATGTGGTTGTTTCAGTTAAAAACCATTATCAATGATCCTGAAGGATTTCCATCTTACTAAGGATAAGGACTCTTGTTGAAGAAACCTTCCGTTCTGGCTTCTTCAGACATTGTGGGGGCTGGTAACAACATCATGTTGAGTAGTATAGACTCAAGGTATTTATACCTAATAGGTAGTTATACCTAATAGGTACCTGGTAGTATAGCATGAAAGCATGTCATAAGTATTTACCTAATAATACTGATAGATCAACCCAGTACCATACAGTACAGAGTACCTACAGCGTGACCGATCCATATCGGGTCACGTTCCGAAATGCCAATCGGTACGGAGTAATCGGGTCCTCCGTCAATCCGTACACAGGAAAACGTGATCCCTGCCTGGACTGCTCCGTAGTCACCACCTTAGCACCTTAGCTCCTCAGGTAGCTCCCCCTAAGCCAGCACTCCTTCTCCATCGCCCCCCAACACGCGGCGTACGGAGTACCACCAACGCTCGCCGGACCCTGGTTGTCCAAAACTTCCGCCGTTGGTTGCACCACAGAGTTGACCATAAATATCACTCACTCACTCACTCACTCACTGCAAAGATGCGTTGGCATGTTGGGGGAGAAGGGGCGAGGAGGGGGGATGCGAGAGGAAGGATCGAGAGATACGGAGTAGACCACCCCCCTCCCCAAGGAGGATGAATATTTCCTCCTGCATGGGGCTGTCGCCTCTCATTCGCCTGTTCGTCCCAATACCACGGTTCGCTGCCACAGTCACTGCAGATTTCGTCGTCCGCGTATCCAATAGATCCATCCGACTCCTCAGGTGCGGTGTTGGTTGCTTCTGCCCGTCGTCTTTTATTTCCCTGCCAAGGAGGAGCGCTTAGCCTGACGGTAGGTGATTGATCCCCTTCCTGTCCGGCTCTGCATTTATGGACGGTTATTCCTTCAAAAAGCTCCACCGTCTGACTCCGTCGTCTGGCTGAACCCTCCAGTCAAGCGTCTCCACCCTCCACCGACTCAAGAGAACAAAGAGAAAAGCAATGTCGCGCCTGACGATCAGCTGATGGTGACGCGATGACGGCCGCCTTTGTTCGCAGCTTTCCTGGTCAACTCTTGGTTTATGCTTGTCAAGGCTCGGCGCCTATCACCTCCGAGTTGGAACATCAGCAGGGCTGTCGACGGCTGCATTACGTTGTAACTCGTGTTTTGGCAACTAACTAGCTACTGTCTCCTGCGCCGATATACTTAGAAGAAGAAGAAGGGGGGGAGGGGGCAAAAAACGGAGGGGGAAAAAAGAAAAGAAGAAGAAAAAAAAAAAATTTATTGCGACAATGTGTGGGCAGAGATCTCTCTGCCCTCCTCTTTCTTTTTTTTTTTCTCTTCGTCAGCGATCAGAATCGGTCTTGTACGGAGTAGAATCTGTCTGTAATCATCATCGGAGGTTGGTGGAGAAGATCGTCAGCCCAAGGAGGAAACTATTCAGGTGCAAAATCAAACGCGCATAAAGAAGCGAGACATCTACCTCATCGAAGAGGAGAAAGAAGGCTTCCGTTCCTCCTTGGCCTCGTCCTTCCTACCCTATCCTATCCTTAGGTCCCTTGGGGGGGTCCCCCGTGTGGCAACGCACCTGTCAACATCGGAGCTGTGGGTGGCTTTTTTACGGACGGGCATCTGGCTGGATCCCAAACCGGGGGGCCATGGATTGAGCTTGTCTCCATTGCCCCCAACTCCTTCATACATACATAATCTGTCACCCTCTTTTTTTACTCTCCACCCCCCTTCATTGATTTTTATGATCATCTGGAGATCATCCTCACCGGGGTTAGCCCCTTTGCAAGCCCTCCCGGCGGTCGTTAGATTCTGTACCCTTTGATATGAGGCCCTCTTACCGACATTTCTGAGTTCTCTACTGTACAGATTTAAATCCCGGGATCGCTGAATCAGACCAGAAGGCCAGCATCACGATTGCATCGCCGTGGTTTGCTCGTTTGGTCCGGTCCTGGTCTGACCAGTTGCCACCTACGGAGCAACCACTCCCTACTCGCCCTTCCCAATTCATTAGCCTTGCACGCGATTCAGATCCTAAAGGAAGTGGTAACGTTTCCTTACGAACGGGTATCCTTGTCGTGCTAGAGGCAACGGGGTGGGGGAAGAGAGAGAGAGAGAGACAAGGCGGTTACTGGTATCCTTGAGGCTCGAGCAAGCACCAAAGAAAAAAAAAAACGAAAAAGAAAAAGCAAAGCCCCCCTGCGTAAGAACTACTCATATTTTGAGCGGGGAGGGGTGTATTTCCGCAGAAGATTGCAGAAGATTACCCAGCGGAAAATTACTGAACAATTTTACGAAACCAAAAAAACAGCCAGACCCTGGTTCCCCACTCGTGCATCTATACTACATAGGCGGCGCAGTCACCATCGCTGAAGCCAAGCGATCGGTACATGGTCTTGACTAGGAACGCCTTCCCCAGGCTTAGCTGCGCGCTCCTTTTCTTTTCTTTTCTTTTTCTTTTTCTTTTTCTTTTTTTTTTTAAAGTCGGTCCATCGTCCCATCTACCGGAAGAGGGAAAGCTCTGGTTCTTCTCTTCTTCAAGCCTCTCTCTACATCTGGTTGTTGTTGTGTCGAAGATCTATACACGAACACTTCATCCCCAAGCCTTACCTTGCTCTTGACTATAGACGCCGAGAAGAAAAGGAAGAGATCGTTCTGTCGAATATGGAGACCTCTCAGTCTCCGTCGGTGGCACACTATGGCCACGTGAACTCATCCAACCGCAGCCGAATGGCGATTGATGCCTTGTTGAACCCGCCGATAGACTCGTCAGTGGACGGCTACCTGGTGTCTCGTCCATCAGACGGGCAGCATCATCATCATCATCATCATCATCATCATCAACAAGCACAAGCGCATCTAAAACGACCACACTCGCCCGGTTCCAGCACATCTTCATCGAACTACTACTATTCTCAGTACCGCGACTCATCAGCATCCTACACCGATACGTCGGGATCAACGCAGGACGCCATGTTCATGGCGTACCAGCCTCGGTCGACGAACTCGTCGCCAGACCCGTACTCGCGGGACCGCTACGACTCTGTCTCGAGCAGCTCCAGCAATGCGGCGGAGAGACGGCGTCCGCCGCGTCCCAAATACGAAGAAGAGGAGATGTACTTCATCTGGTACCACCGGGTTGACCTCTGCCAGGAGTGGAAGGAGGTCCGCGAGAGCTTCAACCGGCAGTTCCCCAGCCGCCAACGGCGCGGCTTCCAGGGCATCCAGTGCAAGTTCTACCGCTTCATCAAGGAGAAGAGGTGTCCGACTCTGCGGGAACAGAGACGCCTCCGCGATGGAGAGTTCCTGCGCGAGGGTTCCCATGGCTCAGACTCTGGGGCTCCAAGGTACGGAGTCATCGAATGGATGGGTGTGTGGTATCCGTGGATGCGAGAAGACAGAGAGACCGTGCTGGCTCGACGAATTTCTTAGTTCTTTTTTTTTTTTTTTTCTTCTTCATGCTCCTTGTTTCCTTTCTGATGTCCATGGCTGTTACGGATCTTGGGAGGGTTTTCTTTTTTTTTTGTCTCTTTTTTTTTTCAAGATACCTTTTTGCCTTGTTTATTTTCTTCTCCTCTACGCTATTCGAAAGCCCCCTCCCCCCGATACAATTTGTCTTCTAAGGTTTTCTGTACAGGTTGGCCTTTTGCTTCCGGGAATCACCACTGCATTGTTGCTTACTATACTAGAATGTGTAGAAGATTACTATGAAGGTATAGAAGATTACTACTACTACTACTACTACTACTCTGAACCAGTGATGGCAGTGTAAGTTATTATTATCTTTCAGCAAGATGGTTACAGGAGTTGTATCTACTTCCTGGGTAACAGGTACCTGTTTGGTACCTCTCCGTAGTAATTAATGTGTGGATACGGGTGGATACAGTGGACACGCCAATACGGAGCGCCCGGAGCCAACTGACTCGAGCAGTAGTATTGTTAGTATTCCAGTATTCCAGTATTTCAGTACGGAGTATAATAAGGTACCGTAAGGTAGTATTTATTAAATACTATACTTATCAACTTACTAGTGGTAGAATAGTATTTACTAGACGACTACTAGTACTCCGTAACTAGGTACCTCACTGGCATGAGTCAGCTAGACAGGAAGCCTTCCAGTAAGGTAAATACAGAGTACTAGTTTAATAACGAGAACAAAGAAGAATCCCAGAGCGCGGCCAGTGAACGGTCTTATCGAGTAACTTGCATGTACTGGCTAGTACCTAGGTAGGTACTAACTACCCTTACCTAGCAAGTAGTACTCCATAGCTACCTAGGTACCTAGTAGTTAGTAGTATGTACTTCTACGCCGGACAGATTCCGTCATCTACAGAGTGCTTGACAAGGCTGGATTTCAGACCTGTATCCTTGTCCTGTCATGCTTGTGCATGATGTAGTAAATCAAGCTTCTTGTCTGTAGAAGTATGTTTATCTATATATATCTGTCTATATAGCATAGTTGTCTATATTATTTTCTAGTGCTACAAGATACGTAAGTACTCAAGTACGTAATACCATGATGTACTCGTACAGAGGTGAGTACTCGTACAGGTGAGATACTTCCGTCGGCTTCATCCCGCCGGATGTTGCGGAGTGCGCCAATTATTGCTAATCCAAGGATTGGTGGCCCTATACGGTACGGAGGACGGAGTATACGCAGCAGACTTATGGGCTGATCAAGATTAAGATTATGTCGACTTTAAGATCTATGCAGTACGGAGTACGGAGTACGGAGTACTCTAGCATCAGGAATTGTATAGACCCTAACTATAGCTAGACTTCTATAGAGTACACTAAATCACCAATCCATTTCACTGTCGGACTGCCCCTCCCTCTTCCACGAGTACCGCCCCCCGATCTCGCCCTCGCTGTCGTATCCCTCGACGTCGTATTCCTCCTCGTCCGATGCGCCGCGGTGTCGATAACGGCCGTATACCGCCGTGGGATCATCGTTCTCGTCGTCTGACGACAGCTCCTCTTCCGGATAATCATTGGCGGGATTATTCTCGGCTAAAAAGTTAGACCAACCTCCGAGAATGAGGAAGAAAAACACGGAGAAAAGAGAGAGAAAGAGAGATACCATTCGAGTCCGCATCTTCGCTGTCCCACCGATCCTCGTCATCTTCGTCCTCCTCTGCAAAATGCTCCCAGTACGCTTCATCCTCCTGGGTGATGACGATGACGCCGATGTCTGAGCGGGAAGGATCGATCCCCACCTGCTGGAACCAACTCGGCGGTTGATCCAGATGCATCGCCATCGGATCCGTAACCTGCACCCCCGACGGCAGTTGCTGGCGGATGTAGGTGTCGTAGACGTAGTCGCCGTCGCTGTCTTCTTCATCGTCGGGGTTAGTATCGGTCGCGAGCTCGGCTTGGATTGCCTCCGACGAGCGTGGCTTGTTGGGCGATTTGGGCTGGTATTTCAGGACGGGTTTGGGCCCGCTGAGTCTCTGCGAGGATGTAGGCATAGGTGTCGTAGGCATGTGTATCTGTGCCTGGTCGTCGTCCATGCCATCCAACTCCAACGCGACCTGTTCCAACTCCCTCGCCAACCGCTCAGACTGTTCATCCCAGCTGTGCTGTTGATGTGCGTGGGCCTCCTTGTCCAGAACCTCCGAGATGTGCTGCTTGGCCGCGGAAATTGCCGCCTGGCGCTCTGCTCTCCATTTCTTTTCCGCTTGGTTAACCACCGGCCGCTTCCTCACACGAACGGGCTCCTCCTCCTCCTCTTTCTTCTCCTCATGAAAATCTTCCTCAGTGCTCACAGCATGCGTCTGGAGCGCAAGATCCACCGCCATCAACGCTTTAGGCTTCTTCCTCAACTTCTCAACCAGAATAGCCACGGGCGCGGGACTCCCGGGTGTCGTATCCCCTCCCCCTGCTTTTCTCTTCTGCACCCCGCCAGCATTACCGACCCGCAAGCCGGGCGTGCTCGATCTGGATATCTGGAATTTACGCATATTCCAGCTTCCCGCACCAGGCGATGAACTAGGACTCCCATGAGATCCCGACATGGTCATCAGGGGGGTCGCCACCCCTCCACCGCGGGGCGTAGCCGGCGACGAATGCAACGCCCGGTGGTACTTCTCCTGCGTCTCCCGCTTCACGGCTGCGAGGCGTTGTTCCTCGCGAAACTCCGCGCCGGGAGACGTCGCTCTCACCGTTGGCACCCCGCCGGGAGAGGGCCCGTTTACTCCCAAACTGCTCGTTGAGCGGGGGCTGCGAAGCGCCCTCGGGGCGGCCGCCAGCCCGGAAGGCGAACCATTCTTATCCTGAGCCTGGACACGCACCCGCTGGAAGATAAAATCAGTGAAGCGGCGTTTGGTTTGATGGAGCTCAGATTGGATATCTTGCATCGTTAGCTTTGTATTATAATTTCTTTTTATCGTAACATGACCTACATAGCGTATCGACAGGCTCCTCTTCTCGCCGCCGTTTAATGTTGATCTGTTCGGGAGGGAGAGACATGACGATGAATATCTGATTCCCTGGGTATCAATTGGTTGGAGGATGCTTTTGTTGGCTGAAGGCGAGAGTCGTTCATGGGGCGATGAAGGTTGACCGCCAGGAGCTAAACACCCAGCCGAAACAAGCCTAGCGTCTGTTGGATCACGTGATTACAGACTAGACCAAAACCAAATCGCTGGAGTCGAGAATACTACAGAATACGGAGTAATGCCTACTATCTAATTCTACATGACTGCATCTCGAAATTACATCATGACTATATTCTGATTCTGTCTGACAGATTACCTCACACTCTCCTTCATCCCTCCAAAATGCTAGATGGAGCATGTTGCTCTGCAATCAAATTGCGTAGAAAAATGGCATCCCAAGTGGTCAAAATTGGGGGGAGGATAAAACGGGGACATCAAAGAGAATAATGCAACAGTGCTCAACCATTCTAGGGTATAGTTGACATCTCCCCTCCCCTTCGTCGTCATCGGAAAAAAAAGGGAGAAATTGAAAGTTGTGTAAACGGCCAACAGGGGAAGAACTTTGTAGCCAGCTAGCAGTGCAAAAATAAAAAGTTAGGGGGGGGAGACAATGATTTTAAAAACACAGAGGGTGAATAAAGGAGAAATATTAAAAAGGGATTATAATAAGGCATCACTGTTGGCCAAAAACAAGAACAAAAAAAAAAAAAAAAAAAAAAAAAAAAAAAGGTGTTTGCACATGGAAAAATCACACTCAGAAATCAAGCCAGTACAAGAACGTAATTAAAAAAAGGGGGTTTTTTTTGGATCACATGGGAACAGGAAATGATATGGGAAAGGAAAGGATACGTAAAAGAGAAGGACAAGGGGGAAGACCAAGAGAGAGAGAGAGAGAGAGAGAGAAATGAAGAGACTTATTTGGCCCCAATCTCTTCTTCGGCCCAGCCAGGCAGGGATGTTTCATTCTGGATAGCCAAACCAAAGCCGGAGTGGTTCAACCCTCCCAGGGCCGAGGCGAACCCGGAGAAGCTACCCTGCGGCTGGTGGTTGATCCCTGAACGAGAGGAGATTGCCTGTCCCGATACAGGGCCGAAGGGCTCCTGGGAGAAGGAAGGCAGACTGACGGCTCGCGAGTGTTGTGCGCGAGGCACGCTCAGGGTGCTGGTGCTTGCGGTGGCGTGGTGGTGACTCGCACCGCCGGTGCCATTCACATTCAGGAACCCGTTACCCGAAGGCTTGTGCTGGTGCATCGGGGCATCCATATTGCCGTTGGTCAGGTTGCCGGTGCCATTACTGGGATACGATGGCTGTTGGGATGGCGGTGCGGGAGATACTGATTGTTGTGGTTGTACCTGCTGCTGCTGCTGCTGCTGGGATTGCAGGGCGGCGAGGGTCATTTGGTCGGTCAAACGCGGATCCTGTTCCTGACCTTGATGGGCGGACATCTGGTTCAAGTACATGGTCAAGGGGTTATTGGCGCCCACATTGAGGATGCCGGAGGGGGCGGAGATGCCCTGAAGATGATGTCGGTGGTTCTGGTGGCCGTTCTGCGAACCGGTCGAGCCGGGGGCAGGCGAGAGAGCGGAGCGAGTCGGGCTGGACGAGGAGGCCGACTGGCTGAGGGTTGTCTGCGGAAACCCGTTGAGAGCCGGTGAGGGAGACGGCGGGCCGTCGATGCCTCCTCCCGCGCCGTTCCGGTTCTGCTGCTGCTGCTGCTGCCCGTGATTGTTGACCTGTCGTGGGGGATTCCCACATCGATCCTTGCCAAAGTTGATTTTGAAGCGCTTGTACTCGTCGCGGTTGCGCATGCCCTCGATCGCTTTGATGGCGTTGGCGATGTTGGTGAAATTGACAAACGCACAGCTCTTCTCCCGCAGGGTGTTGACGAGCTCGATTTCCCCGTACTCGGAGAAATCTTGGCGGAGGCGCTCCTCCGCCCACGACTCATCCAGGTTGCCCACGTAGACGTTCCGCGAGGCCCCGCCGCTGACGGCCAAGGCAATGGCGGGCGGAAGAGGCCCGGAGTGCTTGCCCCAGCCGATCTTCAGCCGACGATTGTGGATCATCAACCCCTGCAGGTTGCTCAGCGCGTAAAAGGAGGCGGCCGAGGTGGGGTCGATGAAGGTGACGAAGCAGATGTGTTTGTCTGGGATGTAGCGGATATGATGCAGGAGACCGCCCCGGACGACGTTGCAGATCTCCTCGATGGTGGTCTCCGGGTGGATGTTGCCCAGGTAGATGGTGCGGTTGCCCAGATTGTTCACCCCGCCTGCCGTGGTGGCCACGGCGGCGGCGGCGACCGACTGCTGCGCGAGGGCGTTGCTGATGAGGTCCCGATCGGCGGAGTTGAGGATGTGGGCGTATCCGGGGGCGATACCCAAGAACTGGGCGGCATTCTGCTGTTGCGTCTTGGACACGTAGGCACAGCGATCCTTGCCGTAGAAGACGCGGCGCGGCGCCTGCCACTTGGCCTCCTGGGGCAGCTGGGCGACGGCCTTCATGGCGTTGCTGATGGAGAGGAAGTGGATGAAGCCGATGGCCTTCTCCTTGACGATCTTGACGGTGTCGACGGGGCCGAACTTGCCCAGGTCCTCGCGCAGCTCCTCTTCCGAGACATCCTCGGACAGGTTTCCCAGATACACGTTCCGCGACGCCCCGGACTGTTGCACGGCCAGCGCAACCGAGGTGGGCACCTGGGACGGCTTGCCCCAACCGATCTTGATGTCGTTGCCCTTGATGGCCAGCTTCTTCAGGATGGCGTCCGAGTGGAAGTGTGTGGCGGAGCTGCTGTCCAGAAAGGAGATGAAGGCGCAATTCTTGTCCGGCAGGAGGCGCACGGATTCGATCTGGCCGCTGCGGACGTGGTTCAGAATCTCCTCGGCCGAGGTTTCGGCCGGGATGTTACCCAGGTAGACGGTGCGGCTGGTGCCTGACAGCAGCCCCGGGGTCACGGAGGCGGCAGGGCTGCCGTACGCCGCCGCACCGCCCAAGGGACCCAACCCGTTGATGGGGGACTGCGGGCCCCCGAGCAGCTGGGAGCCGCCGAGGCCATCGGCGGCCATCAGGCCGGAGTAGAGGCTGGAGGGCAGGTTCTGGTGAGCCTGAGTCGGGCTTCCCAGCTGGTTCTGCGGGTTCTGGGCGCCATTCCCCTGAGGAAAGCCGCCGAAATTGGTAAACTGCGGCGAGGCAAAGGCGGACGGGGTGCCCGGCTGAAAGGGACTGCCCAGGAGCAACTGGGAGGGAAGGAGGGGGGTAAAGTTCATGTCGAACGTGGTTCCGGAGGCGGCCATGTCCGAGTTGTGACCCGCGGTAGCAGTGTTGATAGCTGGAATGTTGGCACGACGCGGGTGGCGGTCCGCAAAGCCCGGCAGCGAGAGGTTGTTGGAGGTGTACGCGCCGTGCGAGAAACCGGTGTTGTCTGCGCTGAGATGGGAGAATTTAGAGGAGGGAGGAATCAGACGCGTGCTATTCTGGAGACTGGCGGCATCCGACGCTTGCATGGCGTGGTGGAGGAGGTCGTGGTGGTGGTAGTGGTGATGGAGGAGCGGTAGGACCAGGTTGTCCCCTGACGAGGCAGCGAGCACGACCGTTTTGGCGATGAGGGTAGTCCTGTCCCTGCTTCTGGCCGGGCGGACCTGATTTTTCTCCTGTCAAGCGATTTGGGGCAGCGGGATGGGCAAGTAGGGGGTAAAGTTGGCGGGTGTCCTAAAAAAACACGGTCTGGATGATCGCCCCGACAGGAACACCCTAAAAAGAAAAAAAAAAATAAAAATAAAGAAGAAGAAGGGGGGGGAAAGTTATCGCCAGAGATCAGTTGAAACAAAGAGAGAGAAAAATTATTAAAAGGCGCCCAAGATTTATTAAAGGAGATATCAAAACAAAAGAGAAGAAAAAATAAGAATAGAAGACCACTCCAAAGCCTTAATTGTTAGCTTAGCTGGAATGTGCTTGAATGGTTTGGGGAAGGTAACAAACCTCCGGTGTAGGAGAATGAAAGCTGCAGAGCAGAGCAGAGCACAGGCTGAAGGGGGTCGAAGTGTCTGGGGAGAGTCAAGGAGGACAGTGCTGGAGCACCACAGAGCCCAAGACCCAGTTGTTAGACAAGAAAAAAAAAAAAGGAGATCAGGTCAAAGAATCATAGACTAATAATTAGATTGCAAAGGGGTAAGGTCAAGTGGGAACAATGATACGTAGTTAGAGGGAGGAGGGGGGAGGGATAACAAAGACCCCAGCCAGGGCCAAAAAAAAAGGGGGGGGAGGAGGAGGAGGGAGAGGGAAGGAAGAAGAAGAGGAGAGACAGAGATCAGAAAGTGACCAAGGGGAACACCATCCACCCCAAAAAAATCCGAGAAAGTGATATATAGGCTGAAAGAACGTGGAGAAGCAAGGAATGGGACAAGTATGCGACTGAAGACCCCGAGCGAAGCATCGCAGGCAGGAAAAAGGGAGGAGATGCGAGATGCCTTGGCAAGACGACTTGTTAAGGGGCAGAGGAGCCCAAACGGGCCAAGGGCGGATGGAACCAAGTAAGCTTCGAACTGATGAGGATTGGGATCTATGTTGTAGTAGGAGTAGTAGTGGTAGTAGTATTGATATTATTAGTATTAGTAGTAGTAATAGTAGTAGTAGTAGTAGTAGTAGTTGTAGTAGTAGTAGTAGTAGTGTAGTGTAGTAGTATCATCTCTTCCGATATTAGATATTTCTGTCTGCTTTGTAGCTTGACGCGCGACATCCCGCCCGATCGTACGCGTGCCAGCCTTACCAGTCAATTGGAGGAGCGGAGGTGGTTCCTGAGCAGCTTCCCAGGCCAGACCCGCCTTACTGCAGAACGCATGGGGCTTAGCGGCCTGTGGGAGGTGGTAGTTGGGTGAGGTTTAGTGGGAAATAGTCTAACAGTCTTAATACTCCCGAGTAAAACAACCGGGCCAAGATGGACTAGTAACTATCGAGTTAGCGCATTGAGCAGTTAATAGCTCCTAGTACCTACCTAAGTATGGTATGTAGTATGCTGCAGAAGAAGCCTTGCCTGGTTTAATCTACAGTTATGTATTCTACCAAGTACGGAGGACTATACAGTATACTATACAACAAATATATAGAGTGATCTTAATTAACTTCCAGTATAATAAATATCTACCTTCTAGTAATTACATGGAACTAATCTGTTATTACCTACAGAGTATAGCTAATGGCCTAATATAATAAGTGTTAACTACTACCTAAGTACCAAGTATTTACTAGTAGTACCTATTGGTGTTATAGCATAGGAGTACGGAGTAACTATGGAGTACTACTACTCCGTACTTAGCCTGAGGCATCAATCACCCACCGAAAATTACCCCTCCAAATCTGTGCGATATCTCCGCCTGCCACTTTCCCAAACCAACTCTGTGATCCCCCCCTGGAGGCAGGACTAACTCACTCGGTTCGAGGTTTTTCTGGTAAGCAGATATCATCTCCTTTCTCTACACTACTTTTCTCTCTACTATTCCAGCCGACTAGCAATTGTGTCTTGTGTTATCGGACGTGACTCATCGGGCAGCCCTTGATAAGCCGCAATTTTCTACCCTCCATCCCCCCGTTCCGACAGTCGATCTTGCATTGGATTCATACGAATTAGAGTGCTAACTTGGCTTCCCTTCATATAAGCTAGTAGCAAAATGGCCTCCATTTATATTGACGAAGACGTTGGTCGAGACGACCCCGCCGCGACAGGCGCCGAGTCCGCCCCCTACAAGACCCTGGTGTATGCCTTGTTGCAACATGCCCCCGGCGAGGGCACACAATACCTGACCCGCAAGTCTCAGACGGAACCGACCGACAAGGATGCCGACCCCGCATCCAAGCTGGAGTGGAAGCCCGCCACCAAGTCGGCGATGAAGAAGGCCACCACCCTCTGCGAACAGCGGAAAAAGAAGGCCGCCAAGGAGCAGGAGCTGGCCATCCGCGAGAAGCAAGAAGCAGAGAAGCGCAAGCTGGTTCTGGAGGAGGCCAAGAAGGTCGTTATCAAGGAAGACCCCTCGCTTCCCAAGCCTGTCAAGATCAGGCTCGACGTGACCGACCCCGAGGTCGTCACCCTACGCACCCCCGAGTCGGAGACTCCCGGCACTCGCGTGCGCGTCCTGGGCCGCGTTCACCGTCTCCGCGCCCAGAAGGATGTCATTTTCATCACTCTGACCGATGGCTATGGCTATCTGCAGTGTATCCTGGCCGGTGACCTGGTCAAGACCTACGATGCGATGACCCTGACTCTCGAGACCTCCCTCGCCATCCACGGCGAGATGCGTGCCGTGCCGCCCAAGCAGCACGCCCCCAACGACCGCGAACTGCACGCGGATTTCTTCACGGTCATCGGTCGCGCCGCCGGCGACAAGGAAGCCATCACCACCCGTGTCGCTCACGATGCCGACCCACAGACCCTGATGGACAACCGCCACCTGGTGCTGCGTGGCGAGACGGCGTCCTCGGTGATGAAGGTCCGCGCCGCCGTGCTACGAGCCTTCCGTAAGACGTTCGAAGCGAACCGCATGCTCGAAGTCACCCCTCCCGCCATGGTTCAGACGCAGGTCGAGGGCGGCAGCACCCTGTTCGGGTTTGACTACTACGGCGAGAACGCCTACCTGACCCAGTCATCCCAGCTGTACCTGGAAACCTGCCTCCCCTCGCTGGGCGACGTCTTCTGCATCTGCCCCTCCTTCCGCGCCGAGAAGTCCCTCACGCGCCGCCACCTGTCCGAGTATACCCACATCGAGGCGGAGCTGGACTTCATCACCTTCGACGACCTGCTCGACCACCTCGAGGAGGTCATCTGCCGCGTCATCGACCTGACCCTTGCCGACCCGGCCGTCGCCAGCGCCATCAAGCATCTCAACCCTGACTTCAAGGTGCCCAGCCGGCCCTTCAAGCGGATGCGCTACTCGGACGCCATCCAGTGGCTGGTGGAGCACGAGATCCCCAACGAAGAGGGTAACCCGCACCAGTTTGGCGACGATATCGCCGAGGCAGCGGAACGCAGAATGACCGACATCATCAACCAGCCCATCTTCCTCACCCACTTCCCCGCCGAGATCAAGGCCTTCTACATGAAGAAGGACCCGCAGGACCGCCGCGTCACCGAGAGCGTCGATGTCCTTATGCCGGGCGTCGGCGAGATCGTCGGCGGCAGCATGAGAATGGACGACTGGGACGAGCTCATGGCCGCCTACCAGCATGAGGGCATGGACCCGAAACCTTATTACTGGTACACCGACCAGAGAAAGTAAGTCTCCCTTTGAATATATACATACATACATATATATATATATATATATATATATAATCCTCATCGATACTAATATTCCACTCAAGGTACGGAACCTCTCCCCATGGTGGCTACGGTCTCGGCCTGGAACGGTTCCTGGCCTGGATGTGTGCGCGGTACACCGTGCGCGAGTGCTGTCTGTACCCTCGCTTCACGGGCCGCTGCACGCCATAAACGATAGAAGCATGTAGAACTTGAATTATATGATCAGATAAGAATAAGAATTGAAAGAAGTTCAAGAAGGATTTGATCTTGCATGTTTAGTCCCACGGAGTATATCAACTCGTTATGAAACCAGTGATGATCTTAATATGGACCCAAGATCCGAAGGAATCATCTCGATACGACATGTCATGTCATTGGCCGCCACTTAGCGATCTGACAGGGGTGAATTGGACATCACCTCCAGGCTTCAAGGGTTCAGCCCTGGAGCTCAAGAAGAGAGGAAAATCTACATATGCAATGTCTAATGGATATAGAATATAAATATAGAGTAAATGGTTATGCTAGAAGACTGCTCTCCTATTGAATCATGTACAAGAGTATACTACATGACTACTGATCTTCTCTTACTACTGCATTGCAGCGAGTTGAGCTCAAAGGTAGAATGTAAATCTCCTTTTTTTAAAGAGGCAAGGGCTTCTAGAACGTCAGTAGAAACCGGCAAGTACGGAGTATCGGGTGATGTCAGATGTCAGATGTCAGATGTCAGACGGAAAAGATTTCCGGCTTTGACGTGTGGCAAAAGAACCAGGAAAAAAGCTGCCAGAAGGGCCTGGCAGTGGAAGGGAGCTGTTACCGCGAAGTAACTACCTAGGTAACCTTGGAAGTCCCTTGAAGGTATCGCGTTGCAAGGGCTCCAGTGGCCTCTCTTGTATTGCTGGCAATCATCGTCTGGCCTCCGTAAGGGCTGTGAAAATGGCAAATGCAGTTGTTTTGTCCATGGACAAATGTTCCCTCCCCCCTGTTGCGTGTCCCTTATACTTGCCTCTTGCCTAGAAGAAGCTCGACATGCCATTGATAGCGATGAAGATGAGGATTCCCTGTTCAATGCCTTGGACCTGTGTACTCCGTATGAGCGCGTGTCGAGTCAGTCGGTGGTGCTTCCATCGATGTACATTCGGTTCCCGTCGAAAGTCTTTGTCGTGTAGTCGGACTCAACACGTTTTCACCCAAGTTTTCGTTTCGTGGGAGCCGCTCAGGCCGGTATTCCGTGTTGTGGAGGCTTCAAATGATTTCCATTTGCTTGCTGCCTACCCCTGGGTCGGGCCTTTAGGCGGTTTTTGCGGTTGACATTGAGTGGAGCGCTGTGTAAAGGAAGCCTTTTCCATGTAGCCGGGACACCTGATTGGCGCGAGTGTCCCGGATTGAAGAAAACCACTTCAAGCCCTGAACCCTCCCTTTGTCAACACTTGTTCATAGCTTCTTCTCTCCATGGCCCGACGGGTAGATCTTGGTGATGCCGCAGACAAAGGGGGGCAACGTCGAGATGTCGTCAGTCCAAGGCTGTTGGCATCCGCCACTTCCCATCACCACTGAACATCATCAACATGACTTACAGGTCCTCTTTCCCTTTTGCCCGGATGGTGAGTCTGGATCTGCAGTCAAGACAGACTGGCAATGATTGCTTCTAAAAAAAAAAAGATTCCGGACCTCCCGTGCGAGGGCTCTTGTGGCCATGAAAAACAAATGACGCAAGAAGAGACACACAGAGAGAAATTTAAACAGCATAGTGGTATGCAAAATGAGCTGAATTCAAAAAGAAAAAGACGTAAGTGTTTGCCGCCGCCTTTGGTCGAAGACTTTCAAATGAGAGTGGCCCATGAAGTGTGTCGTTTGAAGACTCCTGAGCCCCTGGTGCCTAATTCGTCCCGTGACTTCGCTTTCTTTGACATGCCACTTGCTGACACGCTCTTTGATCTAGGATTCATGACTGCTGGCATCTCCAACGCCTGAAATACACAAGTGGTTCAATTCATATATCCTCTCCGAGATACGGCCCATCAGTTTCGGTGTCCTATTTTCATGCTTTGGGTCCGCGGTGATGGGGATGAGCCGACTTTCGACCGGCCCGGAGCGCTCTTCCCATTCCGCTCCGTCTTCTTGTTTCTGGTTGCCCTGGGTTCGACTTTCTTAATAGAAAAGGCGCAATTCATATTCTCCCAGCCCCCGGGTCTATCTTTGATCTATATTGGTGAAGTTGTGGGGTTGGAGCTTAGGGGGAGTAATGCCTGTCTTTGGGGGGTCGAATTTTTTCGATCAATGGCAAGAACATTTCCATCGAGTGCCTCGGCGGTGTCTCGAGCAGATCAGAAAGGAAACTCATTATCCTGGATGAGACGACAACATTAGGGGGTCTTCGAAACGGCTTTTGGGCCCACGCCCTGAGACAGGGATGCTGGTCTCCGGGACGATGATTGAGCTGGAGGGTTCATACTGTTGAAATCTTCTCGAAATTTCACAACGAAGCCTCTTAAGACCCTAGCTGATACATCAATAATGCTAGACAGAGAGCTTTGAAAATGCCTGACGGAGTCAAAACAACTTCACCAAAACAGGGACCCTTTACTTTGACCACACGGTTAGCAGATAATTGGCAAAAACATCTTGATACCCACCTTCTTCAGTTGATTAGAGCCAGCTCTTTATGGCACAAGATTCGTCATTATTCAGCCAAAATCTCTGTGACTGTGAGCATCCTGTCAATTTTTACGATGTTCAGCGTCGTATCTTTTCCCTATATGATTCTGCAGCCGAATTCCATACAAAGCAAACCGATTTGATATTTTCTGCGAGAGGTGGACCATCTCGCAAGACCAGGGGATACATGACTGGACGCTCGGAACGTGCTGACCCGAACGCGTGCAGGATTCCAAGTCACCACTGTCCAAAACGAGGGCGTCTAAAAGGTTTGGGTGACCTGCTAGTCACTGCCAATTGACATGGGTCTTGGCTAAATTGCCTTGTTTTGACCCCGGACAGTTTTGTTACCAGACTGCGATCCCAGATGAGCTCGCTGAATGCGGTGTGTGAATTGCCTGGAATATCCTCACGCTGAAAGGTATTATCGGACTGAATTCAAGTCGAGAATTGTGATCCGCCTCAAGAGCACACTGATTCATGCCTTTTAAATGATCCGAGCCCTACAGGCAAGTATTTTTGTGGTCGAGTGCTTCACTGCTTGCAGATTGAGTGCATGCCCGGCCATTTGACGTCCATGGACACTGGACGGGGAGAGTATTTCCGATTATTCCGTCTATCGGATCATTCCAGATTCGGTGTCTGATGACTAGACAAAGCAGTGATTCGTCAGAATAGCGACCCAGCCCAGAAAGCCTGTGACCCTCTTCCTGCCAGAAGAACAGCCATTTCACATGAGTGCTCTATCAAAGCATACATTGTACCCCGTGATTTGTGCCCAGCTTCAAATGGCGTCAGAGCTTCAAGCCTTATTGAGATGGGCTTGGTCCTTTTTCTTTTATAGTCTGAATACGACGTTCAAATGATGTTCTAATAAGCCTACTCGACTGAACGCTTCGTCTCCCGATGAGACAGGATTGATTGACCGGAGGTACGCATGGTTGGCCTGGTGGGTTTCCAGCCGGTCTAGGCCGAGTGTACATCTGCTTGGTGACCGGAAATTCGTGGAAATTCCCCCACCTACCTGATGATTCTATTGCTTCGCTTTGCATCCATCCCACTTCGATCAAATGATCTCACCCAGAACCTTTTTCCAAGACGCCTGATTTCCGACCCTGTGTGTCTACAACGGCGATCTCACATCCATAACCACAGAATTTGAGCTCGTGGTGCGATTCAGGGGCTGCTTCTCGGAAGTTCCCCGCGAAGCCCTCTCGATCTCCTTGGTGATCACATGGTTTCCGAAGAACCCACTGGCGGGCGCTCATCATCTGGAACTTCAGGTGACACAGCGAGCCGTACGCCTAGTGATGAGAGTGTTGAACAACGGCTCCCTAACCCCGCAGCTGAGAGGCAACAGAGGTAGGCGAGTTTAACCTATCAACCTATTCTTTGTTGTTCGAGATTACTGATCTTCCATGTGTCTTTTTTACTTGCAGTGATGGTGGTTTCCGAGGAGCTGGAAGCGTGATCGAAGCGAGGAACGAACCCCCTGACCTTGAAGCGGACCTGCGATATCATCGAGACTTTCTTGATCGGCTCTTGCGTTTTGTTTCTACTGAAGATCAGAATAGTGTGGCCTACGTCATTTCGGTCATCCGAGCCGGTGCATCTCATGAAGGAATTCTCGCGGCGATGGATAGAATGCTAGCAGGACAAAGTAATGGTGCGGCGACCGAAGAACAGAACGGGGAACTCGAACAGCCATGACGGGGGTACCTGTGAACCCGAGGCCTCGTTTCTGCGCAGGCGATTTGCTCCGTTCCTCAAGGGCTTGCGGTCGATCTACGCTCCTGTTTAACGGCAACTAATACTTGGATCCTTTAGTGAGAGAAGCGAGATGACACCATGTCACTCATTTCATACAGGGACATGCTAAGCATGGCCTCATGGCAGTGGTTTGGCGAAATAGTCCCTGCGCAGCGATGAAACATATTCTAGACGGACTTGCAAAAGAGGGTGAGGATTGCGCCGACAGGAATTTGTTCTGTCCCTTTTCTTCGAATCTGGATCAGCTAGCTTTCTTTCGCCCTTTTTCAGCAGCATGTCTCGACCTTTTACATCACGCAAGTTATGGATTTGTGTCAAATCACGATAGCAGGATTTCTGCAGACTGGTTTAAGAATGCGATTCAGATGTCCCTTTAGCACCTCCAAGTTGGCGTCACATGTCGCGCCTCAGGGCAGTAATACATAAGGTAAGGTATTCAAGAATAATCACTAGCTTTGTGTACTTCACACACCCACGGGCCACCAAAATACCAATAGGAAACTATGCAAACCTATAGACAGCCCATCAAGGGAAATCTTCCTAGGTGGCTGACATGTTTGACCCTTAAGTCTCTACTGGCAGATATCTCAGCAATAATGTTGTGCGCGTTCACGTTCCCCGTCTTCCACATCCCCCCCCTTGCTTCGCAGAGAGCAACGCGCCTTTATAAGATCCTATTACTATGCCTGCCTTATATATAGTGAGCTGCTGAACAATACAACTTGCCCGTATTATCTAAAACCATCGCCATCATGCATTTCTCACCTGTTTTTACCATTGTCTTGACTCTTTTTGCATCCAACGCCTGGGCCCAGGGGAAGATGAACAACGAGGACGACAACATCTGCGTGGGATTTTGTTCTTCGGACCCCCTGAAGTGCGACTATCCCTATGTGAGTCCTTGTCCCTCTCTTGCCTGCTTTTGAAATCAACTATTCTGACCTCTTCTTCCTATAGGAGAGTCTTTTCGTCAAGGATAAAGGCGTTGAGTGCTGGATGTGTTGTGTCACGGATACTTTCTAAACATGTCATACTGTATATGCTACCCTACCTTCGAGGAATTCTTTCTCCTTCATATCTGGATGGATGATCTAGATCATCTGTCGCCTGTGAGCTGTCTGATCAAGGCGGGACTGACCATACCTAGATCCACTACTGTACAAAAACCTGGTATAATACGAGAACTACCTTGGATATCAGCGTGGAAGGGACCTTATAAGCAACGGGATTGAATTTCGGCTACTTTTTTGTTTTATAGAACCGTTGCGTGCAGTGTCCTTTCAATTCGAATTCAGTAGAATGATACGTCTCGTGAAAGATAAATCCATCATGGCGTTCTCCCAGCTAATGAAGAAGTTCTCGTACGATCATTCCAGGGGTAGTGTAAGCTTGGCCCCATGAAATGAAGACTGCCGGGGGAATGCGCGAGTTCATCAAGCCCGAAGGCATTTTCCTCGGTTCGGGTGCCATTCGAATTGTCTGGTAGAACGGTTGATCTTCATTTCGAATCGGAAACAGAGCCCAAGAACTCCAGAGAAAACCTAAAGAGAAAAAAAAAACCACCGATAACGCCATTCTACCCTCGCTATGCCCGTGAGCAGGGGCGTGAAGCCCCATTTGTAAGGAAATAAGAAAGGTGGTCATTCTCGCGCCATCAACGGCACTATCTTCGTCAAGCTAGCCTGCGATTAGCGTCGAGAGGAGCGCCCTAGCGTACGTCCACCAGACTTGGAGTCGGGGTCCTTGCTCTTTTGGTTTTCAGCTTCACTGCCCGACGTAGGTGTTGCGGATCCTCCAAGGTCCTTCTTCTTTCCACGCAAAGTTTGACCTGTGCCTTGGAATCGGGGCTGGTCTTGGTCTTCGACAGTACGGCCATTTTCGTCGCGCTTCTTCACTGGTTTGATCGCATATCCGAAAAATAGTTGATTTGGCGGGAGACGGAGAGGCTGTGGTCCATTTGTCTTTCTTGCTGGTGGTGGATGCTGGGGGTTTGTTGCGCCGGGAGCTGGAGTACTTGGTTTCGGCGTAGGTGCCTTGCTGCCCTTTTTGGCGCTCAGACGCTGACCTGTGGTGAGAAAGTTGGAGGACACCGCTCTGGCACCTTTGGCAACATCATCTGATTCGGGCGCAATAGCTGCATAATTGATCGCCTGCGCCATCGTGCCATGAGCATGGAGTAAACCTCCAGAAGGGATTAAGGCACCGGGAGCGCTTCGAGGCGTACTAGTCCCACTTGTTCGCTGAGGTTCCTCATATCCCACTGGTGCGGCGAAATCAACCTCGAGATCTGTTTCCAGAACAGAGATGGCGCTCTTTGCATTGGTGGGCTTAGTTTCTAGAACAGCCATTTCATACACCTGGTCATTATAGCCAAACGTAAAGACATCTCCCTTTGTGAGGCAGGAGAAGTTGCGGAAAGCATTTTCCAACACGGCTTTAGGATCGCTGATATCAAGAAAGGAGGTGGACTGGGCTTGAAGCTTAATGAACTGGCCAGGAGGGAGGTCTGTCGACTTGACTTGAACGAGATCGCCAGGCTCGAGGAGCAGGGTTTGCATGAGCTATATCCACTAACGTCAGCGACCACCAAAGCTTCCGACACGATCACCAAATGGTCTTACCCAGAACGGTAGATAAATCTTCCCCTCTTCGGCGATGAACTCGAGCACACCGGCATGGGTCATGCGGTCCTTTGCACCGTTCAGCAGCTCAAATAGCATCGGGTAGGTGATGTGAAGCCGAGTGAGCTTATCGAGTGCACTAGGAGGCATGATGACCTTGCCACCATGGTTCACATTCTCTCTCTCTGGACCGGGCAACATCGCAACAGGATAGCACCGATAGTACTCATCAAAGCGACGTGTAGTTGCATGACGCAGTATCGAAGAGCCTAAGACTCCTTCCATGGGGTCATCTCCCCAGTAATCTGGTCGGAACTAGGAGGGGCTGTTAGAGTACTGCACACACTTGCTTGCAGCCTAGCTCGAGAAGCTTACCATGGTGCTGGCTGACGGTCTTTTGAAGAGTGTTATCGCAAAAAGAAGACCAGGTCGAGATATCGCAAGGGATGTCAAAGATACCTAGCGAGGAACTGGCTGTGCTGTTCTTCAAACCAAGTGAAAGTGCTGCCTTGGAGCGCAAGCTGAATAGAGAGAGATCTGGATGAGTGACGCAAGTTGGCCCCGCGCAACGATTTTCCGAGCCGACCCCAGACTTTCAGTGATTGGAAGCAACAAGCATCCCTTTCACTGTCAGTTGTCTCTAGTTCTGCTCTATACCTTCTACAACTAATTAGATTTTCTATAAGCTTCTCCTGCTTTAAATCCGAGTCTCTTGTTTACCGTTGGCCACTCCTATGTCTTCTTTCGCGGCGCGCCCTAAGAGGGCAGCCGAAGACTTTGCCCGCACGCACCATCACGACGATGACCCTGATGCACCCTCTTCGCAAAAGAAGCCCCGGTTTGATCTACGCAATCCGTCAGCGCTGGCCCCCGATGCGCTGGAAGAAGATGCTGTCCTGGATGCAGATGAGATTGGCCGTCGTGGGCAACAGGTGCGACGAAAAGCCGTCAACCTAGATGGCTACGACTCGGACAGCGAGAACGAAGGGTTTTCCGCACGGATCGAAGAAAAAGCGAAAAGAAGCCGGCAAAAGCATGATGCAGAAGACGATGATATCTTTGCCGAACTCCAGGAAGATTTTGGCCCCGAAGAGATCGATGGGGATGAAGCATTGCGCAAGAATAAGAAAACCGTTCGTTTTTTGCGAGACGATGAAATCCAAGGCCAGGTTGCCTCGTCCCGAGGAGGAAACAGTCTCCGGGTAGATTTGAGCAAAGGAGGAGATGAGATTATGGTGGAAGAAGAGGAAAGCGACAGCGATGTACCGGAGGAGGAGCGCGCTAGGGTGACATCCGGCATTGACGAGGAGCTTGGTGCTGGCTCTAAGAAGAAACATGCGCCATTACTTGATGCGTTTAATATGCGCGCCGAGCAGGAAGAAGGTCGATTTGACGACCAAGGAAATTACGTGCGTAAAGCGGCCGACCCAGACGCCATGTACGACTCCTGGTTGGAAGGGGTTTCGAAAAAGGAAATCCGACGCGCAAAGGAAGCAGCTGAAAAGAGGGAAGCAGAAAGGAAAGAAAAAGATCGACAGGCGGACGAAGTCTTGAATGCAGACCTACTGGGAACCCTTATTAGCCATCTGCATCGAGGAGAGACAGTGCTAGAAGCACTGGCTAGGCTTGGAAAAGGGCTACATAAGAAGCCCAAGTGGCAGACAAAGCAGCGCAACAAGAACAAGTCCAAGCTCAACGGAGATGGGGCTGAAGACACAGAGATGACAGAAGATAACCCCGAGGAGAATGCCAGGAAAAAGGCGATTGACACCGTGACCGGTGCTGCCGATCTTCTTATGACCAGAGGACAGGCAGAGATCTACGATACCGAGCGGGAGTTGCTGACTAGACAGTATCGGCGTGAGACAGGAGAAGACTGGGTGGAACCAGCAGGTGAAGCCGATGCTGCCGGGCATGAGAGCACTGCGAACACTGATCGTGTAATGGCAACCCCAACGTGGGAGTACCGGTGGTCGGATGCTCGTGATGGAGGCAATATCCATGGACCCTACGAAGGCTCCATGATGCAATCCTGGAACCAGGCCGGGTATTTTGGCGAAGGCGTCGAATTCCGCAGGGCTGGCACTGCAGACGACTGGACCGCGATCCCAGCCAGCTTTGTGTAACTAGTGGCTATTCAGACGACATGATATTGTATATTACTAATAGGGTCTTGCGGCGGATACGTGTATCTGGGATGCCAAAGTTTTGATTATTAGTCGAGCCATGAGCTCATTTTTTGTTGGGTCACTTGATTCTAGCACCCTGTTACCGAATACCCAAGACAAATCAGCTCTGCAAAGCGCCAGTACTACATATCATACATCATCTGATGTGAGAAATAACAAAGAAAAGAAACCGAAGAGCAGGAAACGAAGAATGATGAGATAATGCTCCTTTTCCAGTGGCCATCTTGTCGATATCTAAAGACAATCCGACCCGAAGCCTCAAACGCTCATTCACGCCTTCGCCTAATATATGCCCGTGATGACCTAAGAGATCTCCATGGCGTCACCGTTGGCGGCCGCTGAGAACGTAACAGCACCTTGATCACCAATGAAACGCTGCTCGTAGGTTTGGACAAACTTGACGCTTCGTGCAGGGTCATAGAATAGCCGGTAGCTGCGCTGAACATCATCAACACTGACGTCCTTGGCCTTCCTCTTTTGGCTGAGCAGATGAGAAGTCGTGATAATATTACTAGCATACCGGAGGCCGGACTCCTGGCCAATCTTTGTCAGGAGAGCCAATGCGTCTGGTGACAAGTCGATCTCTTCTTCTTGTGCGCGGATGGCAAGGATTTGTCTGATCTCGTCAGCAGGGTAAGGCTGCGTACTGACGATAACAACGCGGTCGAGGAAGTCGAGAGGCAATCCGTGTGGGGAGGTGTATGTTGTTCCACGAATCCGTGCCTGGCCACGATTGCTCGCCATGATGACAATTGGTGCAAGCTCGGCTTCTAATGCACGGTTGATGTACGAGAAGCACTCAATATCGAGCATGTGGACCTCATCGATAAATAAAACACCGGGGATGATCTCCGCCTTGCCTTCTTCTTTCCACTCGGCAACCTTGGTATTGATCTGGTCTCTAACCTCGCTCCTGATCTCGCCCGTATCACCGGAGAAAAGTGCGAGGAAGCCCTGTGTGCGCGAGTTGATCACATCGATTTCGTGAAGGCTGACAGTGTGCACAATCTCCTTGCGAACTTGAAGCTCGCCCTCGGGACACTGGACAAATTTGGTGTCGGCGCCCATTGCATCGTAGTCTCTTGAACGGGCGTAGGAGCGACCAAGCTTGGTAATCTTTCCGGAGGACTTGTCAATCGAAATAACATCACCGGCCATGACCCTTTCCTTGGTCATCGAGTCTATCATCTTAGTCCCCATGTCATAGATTGTCTCCATATCCGTAGTCTTGATCGTGAGTTTCCCTTGTTTGTTGCCCTAGAATGGGTTATTTTTTGTCAGTCTCTCCGCACGAGGCCACGACTGAAAAGAATATGCTTACTCCGGTGACGCTTCGGTCGATCTGGATCTCAACAACCTCACCCTCGATGATCTCACTCTCCTCCTTGATCCGGACACCAATGGACTTGCGGAACGCTTGTGTGAGGGCTTCTGTTTTCGACATTTCCATGGAGAAGATTTCCGAAGCCGCGAGCATCGTAAACGGTACGTCGGATCCAAGCGACTGCGCCATACCCATCGCAATAGCTGTCTTGCCAGTGCTAGGAGGCCCTGCGATCAAGACAGCACGACCGGCAATCTTCCCTTCCTTCACCATCTGTAAAATCACCGCAGCAGCCTTCCGCGCCTTCTCCTGGCCAACAAGGCCCTGAGATGCTGCGCGGGGCTGCAAGGAGTCCACATCGACACCTAGTCCTCTGATGTGAGAATGGGCAGCGATGAGGTTTAGACCGCGGAGCTCTTTGGTCTCCGCAATAGTGGAAATTGGCTGCTTCGGGCGTTAAAAGGCTGGGGGAATTTTTGGCCATGACAGGGAGCGAGGGCACTTACAGCAGCCATAGTGGCCGATTGAAGCAAAACGCGAGATTCAGAGGGTTGGAGATGAGGAACTGACTGAGATCTCACAGCACGTTCAATCTCTCGTCCGGACAGGAAGAAAGAGAGCAGCAGCAGCCCTCACCGCCAGGCAGAATCGCAATGCCCTCACTGGATAAAATACTCGCTTTAGCATGGATTCGCTTCCCGGTAGCCTTTGTTACCTATCAAATGTGTTTTTCGACGTGTCTCATTCTTTTCAGATAGAAGATCCTATTTAGGGGGGTCGTCTCTGTCCTTGGAAACCACATTTGACGCGGAAACGTCGCGTCTGCGTTTGCTTTTCGCGTCGTCCTCCGCTGATGCCCGTTCGTTCTAAATTCGTTTGCTTTGTACCTCCATCTTTGCGAAGCGCTCGCCTACGCCAATTCGTTCTGCCTGTTGAATAAGGGCCACCGATCCTGGAGCATCCGACGCCGTATCTCTTTGTGGCTGTCCGCTTAATATTCCATCTTCCATCCTCAGGTCTGGGTGAACAGATGGCAGAGGCCATACATACTGCGATTGTCTGAATGCCTGAGAACATGGATATAGACGCGCCTCCTGGACCCTCAGAGGCAAGGTCGATCTCACGCGATCCACGCCTTATTGCTCAGTCGCTTCCTCCCATTCCGAGGACCATTCCGAGGACCAATTCGTGGAGTTCTGGCCCAACTCGTCCGAATGTTCCCAGCGGTCAGCAAGTGTCCGCTCTCTCTCCAGTCAACCAGCAAAATTTCCCTCTCGCCAGTTTGCCACAATCAATATCCGAGTTTGTACTTGCGACAGTAAACCTCGCAAATTACAAGGCTGAGAAAGAGAGGCTGCAGAAGAAAAAAGCGACCACAGATGCAACGCTGAGGAAGGCTCAAGCCCACACAAACTTTCCGGCAGTGATTTCATACCTCCAGCAGATTAGTAGAAACGAAGATGTCGATTTGGCACGGATTGATGAGTCGATGAACCGGCATTTATCGATCTGCCGGCAATTGGAAAACACCATCAGTACGACTATGAACCAATCACAGAGTTCTTCTCAAGCAAATGAAAAAGTGTTGAAACTTGAAGCCGAGTTGGAGAAAGTCCGGTCAGAAGCCAGGAAGATGCACGGGGAACAAGCCAAGAAGATGGACGAGGAACTTGTGAAGTTGCGACGCTCTGATTCCGAAAACCAAATGATGAGAACAACCACTGGATTTCTACAAGACAGGGTCTCTAAACTTGAGGCATCTCGCAAAGATATTGATTCACATTTTGGAATGGTGGAAGAACGTCAGCGCAACATTGACAGTCTTATAAAGCAGACGGGCGATCAAGAAGTCTCTAGTCACAGACAATGGGAGTCCATCGAGCGATTGAGATCTGAGTTGGATAAGACTACGAAGTCCTGCGGCTCAACTACCGATTATTTGGCTCAATTCAAGAACGAGGCCTCGAACCAGCTCAAACAACTCCACAAGGAGGTGGCTGACCACAGAAAGATCCCTGTTGAAATTGCATTCGTCAAGGAGCAGATAAAGAAGCTGGCTGCCGCGCATCCGCAAGAGCTTGCTGCCAGTACAGAGCCACTGAAGGAACAGATTGCTGCCCTCGACAGCCGTATAACCCTACTAAAGAGTACTATACCTGATGTCCAAAAAATTCCAAACCTACTTCCTGTGAACACCGTTGAAGTGGGAACCCACAAGCTGGGGGAAAACCCTCATGGGAACGGGGTACTTCCCATGAACAATGATGAGACTAAGTATTTGAAGAGGCTTGAGGCTCTAGAAGAAGGCATCAATGCTTTAACCGAAATTCGTTACATGGCAGATGAATTCAATCAAAGCGAGCATCATGAGTTTAGGCAAAAACTAGAAGCACATACTGCAGAGCTAGCAGAGCTGAAAGCAAGCCGTGATCAAGTCTCTTCCAAACTTGTCAGTCTGGGCCAACAATCCGCTTCTACAGCCCAGGCCTATACCCAGATTGCCGAGCTGAAAACAAGCCGTGACCAGGTCTCTTCCAAACTCATTCTTTTAGAACAACGGTTGTCTTCTGCACCCCAGGCTCATACCCAGGTTGCAGAGCTGTCCAATACGCTGAAGACTTTTGGCCAGAAACTCCACACAGTCCAGGTTGCACTGCATTCCCTTGAAACGAGGTACAACAATCTGACCACAGAGCCAATTGTCAGGAGCATGGTGTCAGCGATGCAAGAAATGTACCCCGCTCAGAGTGTTCTAATAGAGCATGTGACGGCATTGAAGAATCAGCTTGATAGTTTACCCTTAGACCGGTGGAACAACTCTCCAACGGAGATCGCAGCTCTTCGGACTCAGCTAGAGGGACTTATTCAAAGTAACAAAATTTTGAAGTCGAATACGGAAGAAATAAACCAGATCAAGCGAGAATTTTCAAATCTCTTGCCGCCTCTGATAACACGGGTTGGAAGATTGGAGAACGACTCCCAGCCGAAACCGCAGCTCTCCGAGGTTGAAACAAAAGTCAACTCACTAAGCGAAAGGCTAGACGCTCATGCTACACGCTTTGATGGACACCTCAAATCTAAGGAAACTGCTGACGAGATTCTCATCCAAACCTTCAACTTGGAGCGTGACCGATTGAATGCAGAACTGAAGGGGTTACACGACGAATATCAAAGCCTGGTCAATGTCCAAGAGGAGCTTCGAACACAGGTATCAGAAGCACTGCAGCCATCAAATCTTGTCCATACGCAAAGGATGGACGATTCGGCTAGGAATTCGAATGATACTCGAATTTCTACTCGGCCAACTTCTGCCACACGAGGTTCTGCTCAGCCAGGTTCTTCTCTGAATTTTGGACTGGACGGGCAGATTGATCCAACAATTTCGTCAGGCTCAGACGGCTTCTCAAGTGCTTCGCGTTCCCCTAAAAGAGAGCCGAATTTCGATGAGAACCAGACGGATATCCGATGGGAGGACCCCATGCAAGGAGATTCTTCCTCTTTCAATGGGTCACAGATCGAGAAGAAAAAGAAGAAGAAAAGGCCTCGGCATTCGGGCGTCTCGGGCGAGAACGGCCTACTAAAAGCCACCACCTTGATGAGACCAGAGGAAGATCCCAAAGCCAAAAAAAAGAGAAAGAAGAAGCGAAAAATCAACCAGGAAAACCCGATCCTAGTCGAATAGCTGGAGAACGCCCGCCTTTTCTTCATATGTTTTAGGGATTGGTATTCATACTACGCTGCATCGCCTGACCAAGACAGTCGCTAGAGTCGCTACCTTTGGGATCATCAGCATGTTCATTGGATGTGGAATATTGATATTATTGTTCTAATAAGGGTTTGTCCATAATATCCATGACTCAAGTGTATGATTTATATTACAGGATAGTTTATTAAGGGTAATGGTACATATCTAACACCACCCTCTGAAAAGCACGTTCTATGTTTTAAAACGTCAAGATGACTCGGTCAAAAACTTGACCACCGCTTGATGCTGTCAGCAATTTTTCTATAATAGAATAGTATAATAGTGCTGCTGGAAGGGATGAGAGAGTTAGCTCACCTTGTCTAAAGGATTCGGGATTCTCTGAGATCAACCAATGGCCCGCCTCTACATCGACGATCTGAGCCCGGGGGAAGAACCGTCTGATCGCCGGGACGGTCTCCTCGCCAACATATCTGCTCTTGGTGCCTCGGACGAAGAGCGTGGGACCGTTGTAAGTCACGGAACTGGGATCGCGGTAGGGAAAGTCGGACATCTCACTCAGCGCCTCTCCGAGCACTGAGACAGGGATGCGGAACTTCATCGTGCCGTCTTCATCACGGACCAGATTTGTTAGGATGAATTGACGAATTGGTAGAGACTGGTTCAACCAGCTGTCAGCTTCAGAAGATACTTGGTCTATGGAGAGAGAGAGGGAGAGAGAGGGAGACTAGTTATACCTCTTCGTAGTCTTGAAGGATCTTGTCTGCGCTTGACTGGCTCATGACCCGCTCTGCCTCGATATGCTCCATGCCTCGAATGTACGCCCCAAAGTCACCCTTCAGAGGGGCGCTCACTGGAGCATTGTCGACGGGGATCAAAGCAGAGACAAGGCTAGGGGACCGTAGAGCAACAGTCATGGCTGCTTTGGCGCCCCTGTGACGAACCATGAACCCGCCAGCTTGCATACATAGCGAACTAGCTATGCCAGAAACACAACAGTACTTACATAGAATGGCCGATCAGGACACACTGGCCCAGTTTCTGCTGGTCGATGAACTCTTCCACATCCTCCGCCATGGCGGTGTAGTTGTGTTCCGTTGAATGGAACGAATGGCCATGATTCCGGAGGTCCTGCAAGCCATCAGCCCCCAATCTTCCCCCCTTAACTTCCAGGTCTCACTGAGAGTAGAGGCCTTACCACTGTATAGATCTGGCACTTTAAATCACGCGCCAAGACCCTAGGTGATGCCCGATCAGCCTTCCCTTCTCCGCTCAGATGGCGTGGTTCGAAACCATCCCTGTTCTTCTTCTGAGGCCATACCTGGAGATACTCCTGTTGTTCTGTTTCGAGCCGAAGAGCCCATGCAAGAACACAATCGGCTTACGCATCGCCTGCTCATTCTCTGGCCCAAACACCTGGAACGACAGATTATCCGCGACGGCTCGAGATGTCGAGAAGGCTCGCATGCCGGAGACGCGGCGGAAAGCAACGCGTATAGGAGCAGAGAGAACCATCCTGGAATCGTTGCCCCCCTTTTTCCTGCTTTTTTTCGGCACAAAGTTTTGGTTGATATGCTGGTCCAGCAAGCTCGACGAACTGATGGTACTAAAGTCAGCACATGGAGGCCACGCCGAATGACTAATCCCAGTGTTGAAGATGGACTTCGGGATGTCTCGGGCCGATCGCTCTTCGCATGTTCTTTACGGGCTACAAATTACAATGTTCTCCGTACGGAGTACTACCTCTTCGTACAGGTGTCCCGAATAGTCTAGACCTTGTATTCTCCTCGGTGCTCCTGTGGTTGCGATATCTGAGAGGGCTGGTCTAAAATACGTGGATGCCTAGATGAAGAGCCAGCTAAGTTGGAGACGACTCCCTGCAGCCTGATCGTAACTCCACCAACCTCGAAGCACTGACAATGGTCTACCATACAGATTGTCCTGTTTCCCTTTTGGATACGGTGAGTTCATACAAGATGGGATACGAAGACGAATATCAATCTTGCTCAGCTGACTTTAGGTTTAAGTCCAGGCACCAGCTAGAGCATCCATGGATGAGGCTGACATCGAGACAATGCACGCCATGATTTGGATGTGACGAGAGCAAGGGGTTCCCTCTGGTTCTGACTCATTTGAGAAAGAGAACCTCGGATAGGTCTCCAGTCGTTATTACCCAATGATATGTCATTTATCACGGAGTTGTCCAAGGTTGCATACCTGCAGCCTAGACGGCTTTACAACATATATACCAGCCCGTCCACCAGGGACACCCAGTGCTCTGCAAAAGCTGGTCTTTTCTAATATTAGTCGATGTGCTAGTCTGAATTACCAAGATGAGTTCGAGTCCAGAGACACCGTTTAGCAAAATGGATAGTTTATTTCCCAGAAAGAGACGACGACCTTCCTTCGAGCTTTTGTTCAAGGACAACAAAGAGATGGATCCAATGGAGGTAAGGATCTATATGACATGCGGGGACCGCCAGCAGGTCATAGATGGCGCCGAGGACGACCAGCTCATCGAAGCGCCTTCAAGCCAATCCATGCCGGGCGACGGCGGTATCTACAAGGAACCGGAACCAGTAGACAGCCTCTCCGCCCGACACACTATAACTCCCAACAGCCCCAAGTATGTGCCGGCACTCGTGAACCGACGAATATACCCTGTTACAACCCTGCCACCACGAAACTGGGTTGAACTCGAGAGCAGCCTGAAAGAAGACCAGCCGGCAGCGGAGCCGCAGGAGGAGTCCGTTTTGATCCTCGAGGAGACGGCGAAACGGGTGACAAGCGTGGGGTTGGTCTCACACCTCATGCTCCCGATGATCATCAACCTCAAGGCGATTCTCTACCAGGAGAACGTGCGGATGGCAATCCAAGCTGTATGGAAGACCGATATCTCGTTCGTCACCACAGGTCTCCCGACTTTCGATATTGCCGACCCCTCACCGACGTTGACAGTCGGGTATAATCTGAAACACGTGAAGCTGCCGTCGAAAGTGATGGATATCCTGGGCAGCTCTGTGCGGCCGGTCGCTTGCGACAACAGCCTAATCGTTCCCTGTTTCACGCTGGAAGTCGACGAGGTGCCAGAGGTCGCGGAGCGAAAGAACTTACTCAACGCGGCGATAATGCTCCGGGCGCTGCGGTGCCTACGGACGTATGCGGGAATCAGCGAGACAACGGTGCGGCAGACATTCGACTGGCAGGCGACGGTGCTGACTGCGACGCTGTCGAGAAACATGCTCGGTCTACATTGCCATTACACGACGACGAACACGGTGGGCGCGGTGGAATACCACGCAAAAACCGTCAAGAAGTGGCCTGTCCAAGCCACGACGGCGCGCGAGGGGATTAAGTACGTGCGCAACGCGGTTTCGTGGGCGATGCGGCACAACTGGCAATGGATTCCTAAAGATTTAGAAAGTTGAATCAATCTACTTGCTATATATTATTAAATCACTTATTCTTTTTTATGGATACATAATGGTTATAACTTGTAGTATATGTGGTATCATTTCTGTCTTCTCAAGTCTATTTATTATGCCCTGAACCCGCAATGGCACAAAACGCCCTCTAATCTTCTCCTCTAGTGATCTATACCTGTAGTAGTATTTGTATTCTCACATCATCCTCATTCCAGTTGATTTAGCTGTCCAGAAGAACCGGCACGTTCTCGACCAGGTACTCGACGATAGCGTCCGGGCCCTTCTCGACCTGCAGGCCGGTAGGGATGGCGTGCAGCTTGATGTTCGGAACAATCTCGCGGGCGATCGAGTGGATCTGCTGGGCTTCCTCGGCGGTCCACATGGAGGCGCTGAACTATTGTGCTTGTTAATAACGAGGTGCTTGAGACAAGGATAAAAAGACAAGGATGATCAATTATAATCCTTGCTTGTTACCCCTGTTGGGTAAGATAAGATAAGGGGAGAGGGAGGGGGAGGGGTACCAGAACGTCAGGCTTGAGCTTGGTGACGGTGGGAGCGACCTCTTCAATCTCTGAAATAGCGAGTTAGCAAGGTGTTCAATGGATAAACAATGCGCTTTTATCAAGGTATAATCAACATACTCTCGCAGTTCGCCTCGTGGATGATGGTGTAGCGGTCCTTGAGAGCCTCGATGAGACGGCCGATGAGGCGCTTGGCCCGCTCAGGCGCGGTGTTGACGGTGACGAGACGGAAGGGACCCTTGGGAGCAGACATTGTGAAGCTGTGTGTATCTGGAAGATGCAATGGTTGGGGGGATTCTTGTGGTGCTGCGATCGATGACGGTGCGACTATTTAAACACCAAGAGACCGCCGTCAGTAATCTTTACCCGGCGTGGCCATGCTGAAGGCGACTCCGAAAGTCTCCACCACGCCGGAGTCGGAAGCAAGTCTGGGTGACCCATGGAGTGGACAAGTAGTAGCAGATAGAATGGTTTGGATAAGTGGATTTCGCTCCAGATCTGTTTGGTTAATGAGTGACTCCGTCCGTCAAGCAAGATGACTGTTGTTTGGCCCCCCACCAACCCCGCCTTCCATCACAATCGCCTTTTGCGGTTCTCGGCCGTGCTGGGAGACGCTGCCGGGGTAGAAATACTCCGTCTCTTGCAAATAATAGACTCCTTTGTTTTCCTTGCTTTATTATTTTCCTCTGATATCATCCTGCTCTGTTTCCTTTTTATACCACTTGCGTCTGTTTTGATAAGCCCGTTGATACCTCACACCATGTCGAAGATTGCGTCCACCTTCTCGCGTAAGGCTGAGCTTGTTTCTTTCCTTTCTGTGGTATCATATTTTTCGGCTTGCTGACATCCCCCGACAAACAGGCCTTGTGCGCTTCGTCCCCAAATCCAACCCCTCGAAGATCCTGATCGGAGAGCCGGTTGACCCCCAGGTTGATGTCGGCCTGGCCCTCTACCAAGGCAAGGAGGTCACCGTGCGGCCCTTTTCGGGCTCCTCGGTGCTCAGCCCTGGCCAGAAGACGGAAGCCGTCGAGACCATTGAGCGGGTGCTCTCTCCTTTATCGCAGGCGGAAGTTGGCACTATCCGCTGTGTTGGATTAAACGTGAGAAGAAAAAAAAAAGGAAATAAATGACTTTCTGATAACCTATGGCTAAAAATGACAGTATGTCTCTCACGCAGCCGAAATGGCCCTCCCAATCCCCGACGTGCCGACGCTGTTCCTGAAGCCGTCAACCGCCCTGGCGGACCCCTTCCCGGCCCCGACGGTGCTGCCTAAGATCACCCAGGTGGACAACACAGGCGACTACGAGTCGGAGATGGCGATCGTGATCGGACAGGACGCCAAGGACGTCAGCGAGGCCGAGGCGCTCGAGTACGTGCTCGGCTTCACGGCGGCCAACGATGTCTCCAGCCGGACGTCGCAGATGAACCAGAGCCAGTGGTGTTTCTCCAAGGGGTTCGATACCTCGTGCCCCATCGGCCCTGCTCTCGTCTCGACCGCCCACTTCGCCGATGCCTCCAAGTTCCAGATCCGTGGCCTCAAGAACGGCCGCGTCATGCAGGACTGCCCGCTGACCGACCTCATCTTCAGCGTCCCCAAGCTGGTCTCCTTCCTCAGCCAGGGCACCACCCTGCCCGCCGGAACCATCATCCTCACCGGTACCCCGCCGGGCGTCGGCGCCGCCAAGAAGCCCCAGGAGTACCTCAAGGCCGGCGACGAGTTTGCCGTCGAGCTGCTTCCCCACGTCGGCACTTTGATCACCAAGTTCGAGAACAACTAGAACAGTATATCTATCTATAGTATATGATCCACGGAATCCACGATATAGAATTTACACTACTACATACACACTCAAGACTTACGGAGTAAGGTCCATTAAGCAATGACTCGCTACTAATCACCATCTCGTAAGCAATGATAAGACGTCTTCTCCACCTCCCACAAACCCCACGCCCACGCCCACGCTTTCTCCACGCGGATAACAGCACGGCAATAGAATAGAGAGGTTGGATGGAGATAGTCATAAAAACTGAGACGACGAGGGTAACAGATCGGAAAATCATACGAGTAATAGCACAGAGTATACCTTTCCCATGAAGATCTGCAACAGTACGAATCCATCCCTGTAGCTGACACGTCCGGATATGATTTTTTCCTCCCAGGAGTAAATCTACTCCGCTCTCTCCTCCTCTCCCGAGCAATCGCCGATTCTTCACCGTTTCGGCAGCCTGAGCGAGTCAAAAGACAGTCGGTCAGTGTAGTATGTATGGAGTAGTTTGTAGTAGATTAGGTACGTGGTTAGTCTATCTAGTAGTCTAGTCTGGTCTTAAATAATCGGAGTCTAGGGTAGAGTCGGGATTATTTCGAGAAGAATTCGGCGATGACTCGGTTTCAGTAGTAGTTAATAGATCCGAGGTATGTAAAGTATTCATCTATATACTGTTCAGTCTATTCTATGAATGCAACGCCTGCTATGCAAATAATGAGTGGTGTCTGTATGCCGTGTTGGTGATGGTGATGGGGTGGTGTATTATTTACATCGGGAAGTGGAGTCTTGTCATCCTGGATAGCTCCCGGCAGTCGTCGTGCTACATGCGCAGCTTCATGTCTTGACTCCCGAGTCGATCAGGCGGTTCTACCCGAGTCTCGCCAGATCCTTTGCCCTTTCTTTCTCGCTTTCGTACTTTCATCTTCTCTCTTCTCTCTTCTCTCCCTGTTTCGTCAACTCATTTCTCTCTCTCTCTCTCTCATTTGTCTTGAACGTGTCATCCCTTCCAAGAGTCAATACTAGTATCATTCAACATTCTGACCTAAAATTGACTGCTTTTCAAGATGTGGTCCGTTAATACTCATTCCCTCGCCAGACGCGTCCCCTCCACTGCAGAAAGCAGGTCGGGATGACACTGACGCCGACGAGGAGAGCGGCACCCACACCGGCGCTGGCGGCAATGCCGACGCTGTCGAACATGTCGGAGAACCTGAGGCAAGCAGGTTAGTGGAGCAATTAAAGTTGACAGGTGAAGAAGAGGGACATACCAGAATGGGCCGATGAACCCCCAGACTTGGCGGACAAAGGTGATGAAGACGCCGACGCTGGCTGCTTCCTGCGGATAGCAGTCGACAGCGTACGTGACCATGACGGTGGTGACGATCTGGTTGCCGACAGCACTTACGGCGGTGCCCACGAGGGGGGAAACCTTCCAGTGGCCAGTGGGGGCTTCCTGCGTGCACACCAGGAAGATGATCAGGCCGATGATGGTGAGTGCAAACCCGATGTAGCTCAGCCACAGCCGGTACTCAGGTTCGGGTCTGCCCTGGATCCGGCGCGCCCGGCGGTTCATCCACGAGTCAGACAGGGTCCCGCCCATCTGCTCGCCCAGCACTGAACCGATGATGACGCCGATAAACTGCAGACCAAGCTGCTCGCTGTTGAGGCCGAATTTGACCTGCAGCAGCTGTGGCACCTCGACGGTGATCAGCACGCTACCGAACAGGAACACCATTGCGTACGCCGCCGCAGGCACAACCACCGACGGACGCCGGATCATGCTCAGCGGGTACACGAATTCCTTCCATGACAGGGGGGTCGGGTCAATCCGACGGAAGGTGAAATACTGCGACTTCCAGCCAAGCTTTTCCGTCTCGACACCGCTACCAATGTACCGAGTCTCGGGACCGAAGAAGAGATACAAAATAAATTGCACACCGTTGATCTGGAAAAAAAAAGGGAAAAAAAACGTTAGTCAAGGAAGGTGAAGCCAAAGAGGTACCCGGAAAACATACAATGGCAAGCACCCAATAGATCCATCGGTAGCCGGCGTTATACGCGACGAAGCCGAAGATCAGGGGTCCGAGCGGGACGCCGACAGTGACCATCAGGGTCCAGACGCCCATGAAACGAGCGCGATCCTTCTTGAAGAAAGTCTCCATGACGACGGCGCTACCGATGGAGCCAGCGGGCGAGATAAAAAACGCGACCAAGGCGCGGCAGGCGGCGGTGGTGGCATAGGTCGAGCTCTTGGCGCAGCCGATGTTACAGACGAGACTGCCGACGAGTGACAGCAGGAAGATGGGCCGGCGACCGAAGCGGTTGGAGATGGGCTTCCAGAAGAGTGGCGCTCCTCCCAGGATGGCGATCTGCAGCGAGGTGAGGTAGCTGGCACGCTGCATCGACACGCCAAAGTCGGCGACAATATCCGAATACGCAGGGATGATGGCGGCGGCGGTGAAAGTGCCCATGCAGGCGTGGAACGCCACCAAGACCAGGTTAATCGTTTTCTAGAAGGAATGTCGCCGTGTTAGCACCAGTCCGAAGCCCCTGTTCGCCTATTCGGCAAGTTTCATTGGCAAATCCAATCGCTCCTGGGCGCCGACTACTGTTCAACTAACCTTCCACGTCGGCCAATTGTAGGGATCGGCAGGTCCCATGCCAGGAACAGGATCGAGCTCTAGGGTGCCATGTCTCTCCAGCAGATACTCGCGATGCTTGCTCGACAGCCTCGCCGTGATGTCGATGACCTCCCCGGGAAGACCAGCTTCCGCATCGGCCGTCTCCACGAAGTCTGTCTCTACTTTGGCGGAGATCTCGTTCATCGGATCGACCGCCCGAGACGAGGTGGGCTGCATCTCGAACGAAGCCATATCGGAAGAAGAAAAAATATATAAAAATAAATCACAGCAGAAAAAAAGAGAGAGGGAGAAAAAAAGAGCCTGAAAAAAAAAGGAAGCCAAAGGCGTTTATCGTAGTGGTGGTGTGGCAAGAGAAACCTTGGACCTCTACTGACTCTCCCTCTCTTTCTATTCTAACGGACCGTGAGAGAGTTTATATTGATATTCAACTGTATCTCACTCTCTTGCAAAGTCCATGGAGCAGCAGCAGAAGTGCCTTAATCTCGTGTGTTATGCAGGGGGGGGGGGAAGAAACCACGAACAGCAGCAGCAGGAGCTGGAGGAGCTGGAACCCTGACCAAGGAAGGGGGGGGAATTGCTTAGCCCTGGAAGGCAAGCGTGACAAAAGGACGGACGAGGGCCTTTTCACCCGAGCGCCGTTTTGGGGATAGCGCGGCCAGGCGAGAGGAGGGGACATATCGTGGGGACGGCGAGTGCGGAGGCTTCTCCACGCGTCTCCAGGGAGATTCTCCGCTTGTGCTGACGCGGCGAGCCAATAATGGCTGGCTCGATGTCATTTCGCTCCGACGGACGGAGAACGGGGGTTACGGAGAAGGCGGATAGCCCGGATGAGCTGGGCTTTCGGGGTTTTCTTACTGGAAGTCTACGCCATCGACAGCGACGGTCCTGCTGGTGACACCGGTGACACCGGTGACATTATTATTACGCATCAACTAGTTGGGTAGCGATGGGTGAAGAGTGCGGGTGGGTGGGCGTTTTTGTGCATTTGCTCAGGAGCAGGAGCAGGCGCTGGATGCCTCAGGCACCGATTACACGTGCCCCACGTTTCTTCTTTCCCCTCGTCCGTTTCTCCACGCTGTTGCGGACGTCGGAGGATCTTGGTACGCCGCAACGTCGCACGGTGATGCCTGCAAAGGTCGCCCAGGATGACAGTACCAGATCACACCACGCCGACAGGGAGCAAGAAGTTGGTCTGTCGAGTCTGTCAGAAGGGCTTCTCCAAGGCCGAGCATCTCAGGGTAAGCCGTCGACCCGCCCCCCGTCGCTAGGAAAAAACGCTGTGGGACAAGAGAAACGACTTTGCTGACGCACGCGGGGGAATAGAGACATGAACGCTGCCGTATGGAGTTTTCCTCTTTCCTTCTCCCTGTTCTGAAGTGGATGCTGACGGATATTCTCAGATACCGGGTCGAAACCCTATGTGTGCAAAGAGTGTCGCCGGCCCTTTGCGCGACAGGACGCCCTGACCCGCCATGAGAGACTGCACGTCCGCTCGTCCGTCCATGCGGCCAAGCAGCAGCAGCAGCAGCAGGAATCGCAGAATGTTTCGCATCCGGGCGCCATGCTGTCGCAGCCGCCGGCACCGATCGACGTGATGCCGCCCTGGGAGACGTCCAGCACGTCCACTGCAACGCCCCTGACGGGCACTACGGCAAATGCCTCGTGGTCGGAGGCTGAGTCGGCGCAGGCGTCGAGCCTGCATAACGCGGCGGTCGAGTTGGACTTTGCTCTCGTGTGGCCTGATTCGGAGAGTTTGTTTCAGAGCATCATGTCCTCTGACTCGACAGACCAGTGGCAGATGCCCTTGGGCACCTTACCTTTCCCACCTGTCTCGCAAGACGTCGGGGCCATGAACTTTGGCTCGCCCAACTCCTTTGACGATCGCACTTCATCGATCGGATCCATTCCCTCCGGGGGTGGCCACCAGGCTGTCCGTGATGTGACGGAGATGGTGACAAGTTCGGTGCGTGTGGTGCCTTCTTCTTGGTGCTGGCGTCCAGAAGCGACTAACTTATCTCTCGCTACTGACCAGTCGTCAAGCGTTACCGCCGCCGTCAAATCGACCTCAATCACGTCTGTGTTCCTTGACGAATGCCTCCACATGTTCTTCGTCCGATTCATCCCCACATTTCCGATCTTGCATCGTGCCACCTTCGTCTTTCGCGAATGCACTCAGCCTCTCCTCCTGAACGCTATCGCCATCGGATCACTCTATCTAGGACCGAAGGATTCCGTCGCCAAGGTCAGTGCTTTTTTCCCCCATGTTCCCTCCATTTCCTCCCCTGAATCTTAATCATGCATGACCCGACTTGTATCATCTGCTAACGCATCCCTGCAGGGTGAGGCATTATGGCGCTTGGCCCACACGGCTGTGGCGACATCGGTATGTTACCTCTGCTGCTATATCGTATTCTAAAATTTATACCCGGTTAACGCGCGTAGTGGCAATCATTAATCACACATCGCGCACCCTATGACTCCTGTAAGGGTGTCCAGCTGCTCATCACTGCCTTGCTTGGCCAAATATACGGTGCTTTGTCCAAGGTATGGTCTGGTCGTTGCATTTTTCACATGCAAGACGCCCTCGTTTCATTTTTATTTATTATTTTTTTTTTTTTGAACAAGTAACATCTGACGGGAAAAAATGGTAGAACCGAGCAATACGAACCACCAGCCAGGTGTTTCGTCCGCTGGGCTTCTTCTGGGCCAGGCATGGCGGCATGCTAGATAGCGAACCGTTCCCGCTGGAAAGTCTCCCCGCCGCCAACGCGTCGGCCAGCGAGAAGGAACATATCTGGCGCATCTGGGCCGCACGGGAGATCCAGCAGCGCGCCTTGCTGGCCTACCATGTGCTGGACGGGCTGGTCGCGCAAATGTCTGGCGACGGGACCTCTGTTCGGCACGTCAACAATGGGCTCAGCCTGCCCTGCAGCGCGGCGTGTTTCGACGCCAGCACGGCTGACGAGTGGCTGGTCCACATGCGGTCGCAGAAGGTGGGCAAGCCTTCCTTCCGGTTGGTGTTTCGGTCGCTGTTCCCCCCAGCCCCGAGCTTCAACCAGACCGACCACCTCCCCTTCTCCGCCTTCACGCTGCGCGTGGTCCTGGAGGGGATCCAGTCGTTGGTCTCCGACTGCGACGAGAGCGAGCTGGCGGCCGTCGGGGTGCCCGGCCGGTCGGACGTGCGGCGCGCGCTGGCCCAGGTGCACGAAACCATCTCGATGAGCATGCACCTGTCGGCCGCGGAGCGGCTGGAGATCCTGCTGCGCTGCCACACCATCTGCCTGGACACGGTGATCAACTCGACGCTGCTGTGCCGCTACGTGTGTCTGCGGTATAGCGTTTCGCAGCAAATCTCCGGCGGCTCGCGCTCGATCCGGGCGGGCTTCGACCTGCACAAATGGGTGCACACCGACGACGCCCGGCGCGCCCTCCTCCACGCCGTCGCCATCCAGGACATCGTCGAGCAGCTGCCCCGCGGCCGCGCCCACGTCATCCACATGCCGGGCTCGCTCTTCGCCGCCGCAACCATCTACATTGCCTTCTCGCTCGCCGGGGTCGCCACCGTCCAGCTCCCGCGCACCATCAGCTGGCAGGACGCCCTCCTGGGCCCCTTTGATGTCAACCTCGACCGCTCCCCCTCCGCCACAACCGCCGCCGAAATCCAGTCCGCCGCCGCCGCCGTCTCCGAGACCCGTCGCTTCATCGACGGCGCCCAGCCCAACTCCGCCGCAGCCCTGCTCACCGGCGCCGTCCGGAACCTCCTTTACGAGCTCAACTCCATGCAGAAGCTCTTCCGCTGTCTTGCCTCCCAGTGGGGGATTGCCTCGGACATGGAAGACATTGTAGATCAATGGATTACCTTGTGTCATTGATCAACACTTTCAACGCTCCCCTTTCTCTCTCTCTCTCTCTCTCTTTCTCTCTCTCTCTCATGACGAACAAACCTGTTTTACGAGGCGTTTAGAGGTCCACGTTTTTCCCCCTTGCTTGACTGTATATACGATTGACCCCGAGTTGTGATTTACCTATTTAGGTACCTAGGTATATATAGTTCCGTTGGGTATCTAGCTAGCTACTGATTGCGTTCCAAGCATGTCTAGAGCAGACTACCGTATTGTTGGTGGCTAATTCAAATACTTTCATAATCATATACACAGCGCATACCAGTAACCTATTTTTTTTTTTTTTTTAAAAAAAGTAATACTAAATGTAACTTCCATTCTGGCTAAATACATGTAAATGCAGGACAGCGCTGAGACCGGATGGTATAGACACGTTATGAGAAGGAGATGAGTAGAACTAAAATGCAAATGCAGAATGCGTAGGGTGTATCGTTTCATGCAGGGTATCTATCTTCTCAGCCTGGAACCCAAAAATGGCAAAACAAAAATGGAAAGAAAAGAAAAAAAAAGGGACGCCGGCATGCAGTGATGTAAAGGAGGATGTGGTATGGTATATATGTGATATGAAAGCGTCGGGGGCAGTTGTGGTTATGGTTATCATCAGGTTTAATCGTCGGTTTCGATTTTGCAAGGGTGGAGGGAGAGCCCCCGTGCGGCAAGTTGCTTTTCCAGTTTATCCTGGACGATAATGTCGACGTAGCGGGTCAATACGCCCTGCAGACCCTGAAAGAGGGTCTCGACGGCCGTGGACATGCTCTTGACCACGCCCTGGAAAGCCTCGTGCTGCTCCGGGTTCTCGCAGTAGCGGGCCACGTTTGTGCGGAAGTCTTCGGTCGTTTTCTGCACTGTGCTCGCCGTCGCCTTTTTGAATGCCGTGTCCAGCGCCGCTTGGAACCGAGACCGCGCAGATTGCTCTTCCGACTCCGTTGCGCTGGTGCCGGTTTCGTTGTTCATGCCAATCCGGTTGGGAGCGACGGGCGTGGCCGCCGAGGGGTTCGGACAGGGAAACGTGCGGCGTCCGCCCAGCTGCGAGAAATTGTCCCTGCAGGTGGGTATGCTATTATTGAGTCCTTCATGTTGAGTCGTTGTAGTCGCCCTCAAGGCAGTCGGGTTTGATGTGGTGATAGGGTGGCCGGTTCGAAAACGTTCGACCCAAGGAGGTCGAGCCTGGTAAGTAGGCGTAGGATAAGGGGCAACGGTGGCAGCGGCAGCACCGGTAGCAGAAGTAGTAGCAGCAGGAGGAGGAGGCGACCGTTGGCGGTATCGCTGGTGATGATCGAGGGCCGAGGCTCGGTGAGGCGAGCGAGACCGAGACCGAGAGCGCGATGATCGATAGCGGGCATTGGAGGCGCTTCGTGTTTCGCCCCAATAGAGGAAGAGAGGCTCCATCTCCGCCGGCTGCGGGTTGTTGGTGACCCAATCACGGATCCGTTTCTGCGTGTAGGCTCGTTGAAGCTCCCGGTGGGCGACCTCGAGTCGCTGGCGTTCCTCCTCGAGCCGTTGCCTCTCCTCTTCCGCCGCGACTCGGGCCTTCTCTATCTCCAGACGATGCTGCGCTGCCTTCTCCCTTGCATTGCAACCCACGATCCACTCCTCAACCTGGCGAAAGACCTCGTTCTGCGGAATATGGATTGGCGGGTGGTCTCCTTTTCCATTGGTGAGCCAGTCCAGGTACTCCTGGTAGTTGCGGACATAGGTCGCGATGCGGCGGCGGCACGACTGCCACGAGTACGTGCGCCCGCATTCTACGAAAAACAACTCGGAGATCTTGATCCAGAAGCTTTTAGGATACTCGGTCACGTCGTAATTCTCCATCTGGAGCATACACAACCGCACCAGACACAACTCCTCCTGTGGGGTGAGCCGCCGACCACGGCCACACCCGGTCGGCGACGAGGTCGTATCATCGGCAGGCTCTGTCGCCATCACAGGCACTGTACTCTGGTCCGGTGTGGGTAGTTGCTTGAAATCTAGCGAGGGCATGGCCACGGAGGCGGGCTTAGAGCCTGTCGGGGTGGGCTGACCACCGGGCGGCGAGGGGCCCTGCGATTGCGGTGAGGGAGCCCATGGGTACGCAGTTCGGGGGGCTGGCAGGTTGAAGAGGGGCCTCTCGTCGCGGGGGATCGACTTGACGGACATGGCTGCAGGAAAAAAACAATGAGTCGGAGAAGAAGAGAAAGGCTAAAAAGATAAAAAGGGGGGGCTACTCACTCCATTTTATCTCGATGTGCCGCCGTGAGATGCTGGGGATCGATCGAGCGGCGAATTTTCTCCTGGCCCGGGAAAACGCCGCGTCTCGCGTGACGGCACGTGACATCAGGCGGGAGGTTGAGGGTCGCGTTGGGCATCACTTGACGCTTCATTCCTCCATGTCGGAAAAGAGGATCGGGGGAAAAAAGATGGATGGCACGACAGACGGCGGCTCCCTTATTTTTTACGATGATTATTCGTCCGCCGGCTCCCTCAGGCAAGGGTGATGTCCAAGGTGAGTCGAAATGCGCAGCATGACACGTCGCGGAGGTTACAACGGTTACGTACGGTCAGATAATACTGGACAGCGATCTACCACATTCCTCAATTCGTGACTCGCCAGGGGAAAAAAAAAGGTCAACTGGAATCTCGGAAGAAAATAAACTCAGAGGATGGAGTAATTATAAGATTCAGCTCGCAAGACAAGGTTAAGTCCGAGGGCAAGTGCCGGCTGAGCCATGCTCAAACCTGCTCGTTCGGCTCGGTACGGCTGTCTCGGATATGAGCTACGGAGAACTCGCTGTTAAAAAAGTGGCGAGTTGTTGACTGTAGCAATTGTCTCACGCCACTATTTAGCTTTAGGAAGCGGATTGCTTAGGTGATGCGAACAGTAAAAAGTGGACTATACGAAGTTACGAAGTGTTTGACTTTGTCTGGAGGATTCTGGCTCGAAGGATCTGCGCACACGTTCCTATTGCTAAAAGGAGGATGCCTATTATCAATAGTCGTAGTCTATCGAATGGAGAATACAATGACCGAGATCGCCTGGAAATTGCCATGGCAGAAAGGGGGGAGAAATACAAAATTTGTCCACACAAACAAGCCTGCAACAGAGAGAGATAGAGAGAGCCTCAAGCAGCACCCCCATAGATATCATCCATGTCATAGGCTGCATCCTGGGAGAAATACATGCTTTCGATGCCCTGCATGTCGAATGCGTTCCCTGAAGGATGATGGGGATGGCCATGATGAACCTCAACATGGTTCACCGCCAGATCTCCATGTCCGGTCCCCACCAGATCAACGCCACCATCGAGTATGCTGCTGGAATAATGCAAGGACGTTGAGGATGGAGGTGATGGATATGATGAAACACTTGAAGCTGCGGTATTGGTGTGCATGTGGGTGGTGCTGTCGTTATTCTTCACGCCAATATAACCGTTCGACCGACTGTCCACCCGCTGCGACAGCTGCCGCCTCGTTGCAAACGTGCTCGAGAAGCTTGCCATTGGGATGTCAGTTCCCGCCTGCTGGTTAGGCTGTACGGGCCTGTTCCCCGTGATTGTCACTAACGATGCTGCCTCAATGGCCTCCCGCTTGACCTGGGCCGTAGTCGGTTCCGAGTCTGCGTCAAGGTCGATTTCCTCTCTCTTGCAAACGCCGATATCGTTGTCTCCATCGTCGAGACAAATCGCGTCCAGGAGAGTATCACCCCGGCTGCTTTTCGTGGGAGTCATGTTTAACTTATCGAGAGCCATAGCCATCATCTTGCCTTTTCCCGTCGAAGATCGTGGCGTTGACTTGCTGATTCCACTTCGTGGACCACGCGGAGTACGAGGTCCCCGAGGCGTTGAAGGAACAGATCCGGAAACCCCCCCTCCATTTCGGCCACGAGGGAGGTCAGTGATCCCGCGTGCCTGGGCCTCTTCCTTCAGCTCCTCAGCCATGCGACGGTAGCGGCGGAAGCGGCCTTCAATTGCGTCGTATGTTGCCCCCTGACCGAACATGAGGGCCATCGCTTGGTACTCAAGCTGAAAAGTCACCACCCGCAGAAACCAAGATAGAACAGATAGCGTAGGCTTACTTTGAGAGATGGATGTGCTGCTACAAGTGCTGCAATGAGCCGATCGGTGGCTGCGGTTTCCTTCCAATTCACCATGATTGTGGCCGTTGAATAGAAAATGGCAAATTTCGATGCGAAGAGGGTCTTCAGTCGTGTAGAGCTCCAAAGCACTCGAAGGAATAGAATTAGCCCAGGTCCGCAGCTGTAGAATGAACAACAATCAATCGTGGATAGACTCACGCTTTATAGGATGGAGTACACGGAATGCGTCTCGACCAGGATTCATTTACCTAGCGCAGCTGGCTAATGTCACAGAGAGCAGCCAGAAGGTAAGAAACGACATGTCGGTCACTCCTCTCGCTCCCACTGTGTGGCCCTCTGCATCTGAGGGTACGACAGAGCTGCAACTCTTGTCGATTGGCAGAGACCGGGTTACTGGGTCCAGGCAGCGTTTCTGACACAACAAGTGAGTTCCGCTACACGGCCGCGACTTGTGTTTAGACCAGTGAATGCCTTAGGATGGCGTGGGGGAGAAAGTGACTCGTCTTAACGCAATCTGACAGATCGATTATCTGGCTGCAGACTGCGTGACGGGGATGCAGGAACGATTCACCGCTCGATTTGGCCGACAGAGAGATGTATAGGAAACCAGAAATTGTATAGATAATAAGGCTTAGAATTGTGTAAGCCTCCGTGATCGCGTTGGTGTCGTTGTTGGAGAGCTGACGAGTCAGTTTGAATGGTGTATCAAAAGCCGTCGAAAATCAAGACAGCTGAATAACAAGAGTAAAGTGAGTCTTGCAGCCTGATCTATATGCTTGATTCAAATAATCAATACTTCTATGCTAATGTTTGCTCAGTAATTGAGACTTCTATCTCCCTTCTCTCACCCGCCCTTCTCCTCTCCCCTACTTAATTCTTATATCTCCCTTGACTTCCTCGACACTTTTCTTCCCTCCTCCAGCTCTCTTTGCCCCCTCAATCCTATTACCTTGCCTCTACATCTTCTCACTTACTCGGGATCCTACATTAATATTAATCTATTCTACACCGTCAAGATGCCTATGAGATGGACTGCAGATAATGATCAGCTGGTAAGCTCAGTTCTTCACGTATTAAGGCTCCTGCTGACAAGACACAGCTGCTGCTTAAAATCCTCGAGACTCATAATCTCAGCGTTGATACCAAGAGAGTAGCGGCTGCATGGCGTGAGTACCCCGTTGTCACCGTTATCACCGTTATTATCCTTGTGAAGGCTACTGACATCTCAGCCGGCTCTGAGGAGGAAAAGCCCACTCCTCGCGCCATCAGTGAGCGTCTATTCAGAATGCGCAAGGAAATCAAATCATCCGGCACCACCCCAGACGGAGGCCACTTCAAAGTCGGCAAGGGCTCCAGCGGCGGAGGTACTCCACGCAAGCGTAACTCGCCCTCTAATGCTGCTGGGACCCCTGGATCTGGCAAACGCAAACGTGGTGTTGTCCCTAAGACTCCTGTCAAGATGGAACTGGATGATACTGCTGTTACCCCTGCCATCGATCATACCCCGACAAAAGCCCAGCAGAATGGCAACAGCACGTCTATCATGGATATTCAGACCATTGAAATGGCTGAAGCCACAGTGAGCATCAAAGAAGAACGGGTGTATGATCCATATATTGCCAGTCCTTCTCGCCCTGCGCGGACGCGCACTCCTCGTTCCCTACCGCCTGGAATGGTCGGGTATGATGCCATGGAAGATGAATCAGAAGTCGACCCTGAGAGCTCTTCGACGGAGTATCTCCCTGAAGACTCTCTGGAAAGGTTTATTAAGGTGGAAGATAACTACGCGTAAAGTTTGCAGATCATGGACCAAACATAGTCTAAATAGTCTAAATTTAAGCAGATGACAGCCTAGTAGCTCATGTCTAATTCAGAAGTCATAAGAAGCCAGCCTAACAGTCAGCAGCAGTTGGTAGCAATCAGCCTATACTAAGACATCCCTCAGTTGCCTATTAAATTCGAATCTATGCCTTAATAATAGTATAAAATGAGCTTGACGTGGGCAACTCCCGGTATACTTCTACTCCTCTAATACCTCTTCTGCCTTAGTATTAAAGACTTATTAAGGTAAAGATAGTAAGGGATAAGTGAACCATCAGTAAGTCTAAGCATTTAAGCACTTATCTCTGCCTTGGTCTTAGTGAAGCTTTAGATCAGGTCTCACTCTTCTTTACTCTCTTCTTCTCTTCTTCCCTTCTTACCACTCACCTCTTCTACCTTTCTCCTCTACCTCTATTCTCCTCACATCTTTCCATTTCCTCACTGCTCTGTTCTTCGCCCTGCTTCTATACCGCGCTGCCTCACTCTTATATCCTCAGCTTTGACTTCTCGACTCTACTACTGCACCACCAGCCTAATCAACCGTCAAGATGCCTATGAACTGGGATGCCCAGGCAAATGCCAAAGTGAGAGCTGGGCCGACACCTCCCTGGGACTGCGTACACGACTGACTCATCCAGCTTCTCGTTGCTATCCTTCACACCGCTAAACCGAAGCTTGACCTCGCCGCTCTGGCCGAGTGGATGGGACCCGGTAAGAAAATAGACTTCTACAAGATTCATTCATTTACCTCTAATACAACCGTCATAGAATGCACCGACCGCGCCGTGAGCAACCAGATCACCAAACTGCGCGCGATGGCCAAGGGCACCGGTATCACGGACTCCAGCAGTGCGACTTCCACCCCGACGAAGAACCAGGGTGAGGGGGCTCCGAAGAGAAAGCGAGCGACTCCCAAGTACAAGGGAAAGAAGGGAATGGATGCAGATAGCACAGCCTCCTCTCCCGAGGGAGTGATGTCTTCTTCTACCACGCCTATCAAGGCTGACAAGGACGGCGAACTTAGTCCCTGCGTCAAGAAGGCCAAGATGGAGGGCTTCCAGCGTAAACTGGCGGATATTCCTGAGCATGCAGACGAGCTTGAGGGAGAGGACCTTCTCATGGGTACTGCTTAGATAGGAAAGCGTTGTTGGTACCAAAACCCTCACGTTGGCAACCAGTGCTGGTCACTGAGATGCTGTCAAGTGCTGTCATTGCTACTCGTACCAGGTGTCTGCACTTGGATTACGACGCGGTGGTCATAGGCATAGGGTTTTGGTTTTCCCTTCGATAGGAAGGTTGACTAGCATAGGTACTGATTTACTTGGCAAAACAGCACAGCTGCGCAATTCTCTGCTTCGTATTGAAATAATACTAGCCAAAAATCATAAATCTATTTGCCTTGAGTGGTATCCTATGCCACGACAGTATCAAATGATATCCCCCATCTAATTTGTTTGGTATAAAACACGCTGATCAAATGCTAATTCCAAAAGAATAGGGGCACGAGTGTAAAAATCAAGCATCATCAGCCATTAGCACCATGCATGCAGTCATGATGTCCACAGGACATTACTGGCAACCCGCTGCTAAATATCCGCCATGACGGATTCAAGGACTTTTCGTTTATACTGTGTCAAAGAACGCTCCTTTTTATGCATCTGCGCTCGGAGCTTCATGAACCGCTGCTTCCAAGTAGTTTCAGAAACAACGCTGCTGGAGCCGTCGTCGTCATCGTCGTCCTCGGAATCGACGAGTACGTCGCCAATACTCTCAGTGCTGTCGTGTAGCTCATCGGTCTGGCTCAATAAGCCCTCAGGGGCATTCGAAATGTTTACGTCGTAGAAGGTCATCTTGGTTCGCAATCCAGACACAGATTTGAACTCGTGCGTCACAGTGTAGACTGTCTTCGCCGAAGATTGGCTTGCGTTTGAATGCCCCATGAATGAATTATTGACCTTGACTGTAACCGAACCCGGCCTAGCACCTTCTAAGCCTAGGAAATGCCCCAGACCGAGCTGGACCGCAATATTGTTTGCCGACGGAGGCAGCGAGACACCAAGCTGCGATATGTTTATGCTTGTGATCACAGAAGCAGCTAATGCCGTGGCTTCTTCAGTCGTGAGAGGGCTAGACCGGCCAAGAATTCTACCACGAAGGATCTTATTCGAGAAGATGCGGATTAAATCGGGAATTGTCACCTTCTCAGAGTCTTCTCCATTTCCATTCAACGATGACGACAGGTCAGGTCCAGATGCTATGCTCGCAAGGTCATTTAGGGGAGCCGTTGATCCACGGGGGTCGGTCGTATCGCTCTGAGACACACTGTCAACACCATTCACGAGAACTGTCGGCGGCGTAGCAAGACGCACAGGCCCTCCCGCGTGTTGCGGAACCTGCAGTTGGAGTCTGCTAGGCCGAACGTTCAGGTGTGAAAATGGGGTGGGCGACTGTTGGTATTGAGAATTCGTAGTGAGGGAGTTTGATGGGGTTTGATTGAGGCCGATCGCCAGGGACGCCCGTGTTTCTGTATGGGACACTGAGTGTGTTGATCCAGACTCTTCTGGATTGACAGAAAAAGATGAAAACGGCCCATCAGAGCTACTGGGCCCTTTATTCGGCGGTCTTCCACGATTTTTCCCGCCGGACGAGACACCACCGCTAGGCCAGGCAGATGATACTGCGGGTCCATGTCTTTTCCTTGCCCGTTGTTTCTCACCACTAACGGGTATTAAAGCAGAGCGCGGCTCGGCACCGCCAAACATGCTTCTCGCACCTTGATGTTCTCCTGGTATGATTGCTGATTGTGGGTATCCCGGCGGGGATGAGGCCCGATCAAGAGGCCTCCACCTAACATCCTGGTTTTGCTGAGTGATTGAACCTTCTGGAGCACCATGAGCTCCGAATGAGGACGTAGCAGTTATCCATGGGTCGTTTGACTCCATATCATTCGGGAAAGCGCTGAAAGGAATAGCGCTTTGTGGAAACGGTATCGGGTCTGAATGGGCTGTAAAGGCGTCATGATGCAGAACGCCCGCTGAGGTATCGAGTTGAGGCCTTTTACTGGTTCTCTCCTCGTCATGCACTTTATCATCGGCCCGGCGCCTGCCACGCTTCGGTTTCCACTGTGGAACAAGAGCGTGTAATGCGATGTCTTCCTCCAATGGCACTCCATCCCGGCTTTCGCTCACAAGAGAGCCGGTCAACGGTAATTGGGTGTAGTATGTGTGTGGGTGGCCCAGACAGTATTCAAAGAATGCATCGACGTGCATTGCTCGCATCCAGCGCTATACGAATGTCCCCGTCAGCGATTCCAGTACCTACCAGATATAATCACAACACAAACCTTTAGACGGACTGCATATTGTTGAACCTTCTGTGGGCTTTGCTTTTTTTCCAAAGAGGGAGGCTCCACTCCCATTTCAATTGCCAGCTGAATCCATGTTTTCAGCTCTTTACTATCGAGTTTGCGGATAAGCTCCCACAGTGTGAAAATACTGAAGCTTTTGCCATCACTTCGTGGAGGAGAGCGGAATGCCTTTCGTAATTCACTCGTGTCAAGAGAGCCTGGAACGTTCGGGTTACAATATAGAATAAACGCGACATACGCATCGTCGATCGTCTCATCTGTGAGATCTTGGGACGGGAGAGATCGCGACTCTGCCTGGTCTGTTGGATCTCCCATTGATCTGTTGCGATGCGGATCCAATAGTGCCGGTGATGCAGACGTCACTGATCGTGCTGTTGATTGAGGTACAGCCGCTGATCGTACGTCTTGTGGGGACGATTGCAAGCTCCGTGGAGTGGGTGTTTCTTTACGGTGAAGAGGAGAGGCGGTAGAGGCTGTCAGCTGTCCACGAGCACTCCCTGTAGATGAAGCACTCCGCAGCGAGTGTTCCAGAGCAGCCGGATATCTCGCATATTGCTGGATCACCATCTGTGCCGGCTCGAGTTCCCCTCGCTCCGAGGGGTTGATCACTCCCCTGAACGAGTCCTCCATGCCGAAATCTTCAAGCAAACACCAACGAGCTTGATCCAATTATGGGTGGTCATCAGGAAAAGGAACGACTGCTGCCAAATTTGCCGAGAATCCAACGTGCGGAAGGATCAAGTCGGTAAAACCAACAGAGACGCAGGATAGCAGAATGTTTCGCAGAAGCCAGTCCATTTATCACGGCAACGAACACTGAAGCTTAGCAGACAAGCCTCATCACGCAGAAAAAGCGACTGGCCACCTTTGGGCCAGCAGGGGGCTGGTGATAAATACGCCAGCGCTCGGCCGTACGACCACAACAATGATGAGCGGGAGGAGCTGAGTGTTGCTATTTCGGGAGACCCCGCCTTTGCCAATCTAGGACTAGCTTTGTTGCCTTACGGCGAGGGCATCAAAAGCTTGGCAGTCAGGGATGTCACATGGACGCTAGAGCGTATGTGGTTAGCCGAGCGCCTTCCTGCCAAATGCGATTTCTTATCGATAACCGACGTCAGGAAGGGCGGCCGAAGACAGACAGTTTGGTGTTACGGATCGCCGACGTCGTCTTTGTCTCTTGGGCTCTTTGTCTCGAGGTTTGTTTCACTTGAATCGCCGCCTAGGTACATTCCACTGCCGTGTGTTATCCTGTTGTTCTTACCTCTCTGTTTTTTAAGGCAGCCTACATTACCATGCTGCACTCAACTTGCGACTAGCTTGGAGTTGGAAGTGCAGGACCAAGGCCCTGGCAACGATAATGGCGTCTTCGCAACGCTCCTCTAGGCGATCTCGGCCGATACGCTCGAGTCGCACGAAAGTGCAGTCCTACCACGAGGAGAGCAGCTCTGATGCAGGCGCTAATGAGACCGACAATGAGGGATCGGAAGATGCGTTGCTTGCTGCGCGGCCTCGCCGGTCTAACCGACGGCTCACTTCTTATCGAGAAAGCTCGAGTGACGGGAGTATTGGTGAAGGAAACAACGACGAAGAAGTGGAAGGTGTCGTATCTATTGAAACTACCACTCGGTTTCCGTACCAGTTCTCAGAACCTGCAGCCGCTAACACTGATAACCCATCCCGAACTCGCCGCCATCGAAGAGAACCCCGTCAGAGTCGAACCACTCGATCGAGATCCAAAAGGGAGCTGGGAAGACCTTTGAAAAAGCGTCAGAAAGTTGTACCAATCGAGATCCCATTCATTGGCTCAGGTGTTATCCCTCCATGGCAAACCTTACCATATCACATTTTATTCGATATCTTCTATCGTGCATCCTATCCACTGATCGATGAACAAAAAATGGAACGCTCCAATTCTGCTGCTTGGCTGGTGGACATGTCCCTCATGTGCAGGGCTTTTCATGAGCCTGCACTGGCTGTTCTCTATTACTCCCCGCCACTCCTGCCGGCAGCTAAATGCCACAGTCTGTTAAGCCTCCTCGGTCTGCCACAAGAATCGCTGTCGACAAATTATGTCAATAAAATCAAGGAGCTTCATGTAGATGCAGAACACCTATTAATGTACAAGAGTGGACCCTCCTTGGGATATTTCGATCTTGCAAAGTTGGTGGAGAGAGCACCCCGGACGAAGAACTTGCAGATCTATCATAAGGATGACTACCAGGTGGGACTTGCTCCTTGGCAGAAGACTTTATCCAGATGGAACTACACAGACGCTTTCTTCACTGCATTAAATAATACACCTATCATGCTTCGCAGCTGGGCCTGGAATGGTCGCTTCATGGAGACATCAGAACTCCTCGTTACGATGCTTGAGAATCATCAAAAGTCTGCATTCAGAGGGGTTCGCGCTCTGAAACTGCTACACATTTCCGCGGAATATACTACAGTCCAGGAAGCAAGTCCAGATACAGAGCCCAGGGAAGTGTTCCTTGCCGATGCCCTCGCCGAACTACCGGAATTGCACCATTTGGAATTCATGGAATGTTCCATTGTCAACGCGCAGTTGCTGCCAAACCTCCCGTCGAGGCTCACTTCCCTGACCATCATAAACTGTGATGAAGTGACAACTTCGAATTTGGGAGAGTACCTGCTTACTCACGGCCACAACCTTCGAGAACTGGTTTTAAATCACAACCGACACTTGAGTATGTCCTTCTTGACAGGATTTGCGCAATCCTGCAGCAGACTGGAGACATTCAAGATGGACCTCTCCATTCATGACCGTTCAAGCTACCATGATGTCGAACTTCATTTTGACGAATTGATCTCTCCATCCGAAATTCCTTCCTGGCCAGCGACACTAAAAGACATTGAGCTCACGCAGCTTCGTAACTGGGGTGATACGGCGGCCGAGGTATTCTTCGCGTCATTGACTGACGCCGCACCCGAGCTTCCCAATCTGAGACGCCTCGTTATCAGCGCAATTCTGCAAATCGGATGGCGCGACCGAGCTACCTTTCGAGAAAAGTGGATAGGAAAGTTGAGGACCGTCTTCCTGCGCAGGCGCAGCCCTTCGCCAAATCCGGCTCTTCGCAGTATCCGACGAGCCCCTCTGCCATCGGGCCAGCTAGGTGTACGAGATGATACACCGGCCGAACAGGCGACTCACTCAGATGTGTACACTGCCAATGAAGCGGGGAGCGTAGCTTCCACCCCTTCTAAACGACACAGTGCAAGACTTGCTGAGAGGAAGCTTTCTGAGGTTGAGGACCATTTTCAATCTTCACACGTGCGCAAAAGTGATTCGCCCAGCGAACCGGTCTTCATTCAAGGATTGTGTGATGTGGTCTCGATCCGCATCGATAACCAGCGTCCATCGGAGCTGCAATTCAACGAAAACGATTTCCTAGACGACGAACTCAGCGGCGATGAAGACTGGGCCGGATATGACCATGTTGTTGAAGAGAGACATGCATGGTAGCAGGCCGTTTTTTCCTCCCCTCAGACTTTGTACAGTACCCGGAGCCAGCCCCTTTGTTTATCACCGAGTTTTTTGTTCTGTAATTTCTATCTACTTGTCTTCCATTTTCGTTCTTCCCGGATCTTTTGCCTGCTGTATTCTATTTTATGTTATCCATCTACTGCTATGGTGTCATGACGTGTTGATGTTTTCTTGATCTTGTGAAAAGGCCTTAGATGGAGTCGGGTTCTGGTGTGGTATTCGTGGCTTTATTGATAATTTGTTCTTGTGGTCATTCTCTACTCTGATTTTACCAATAATAACAATGAGAAGCTCTCGTCTCTCGCCCTGTTCGTGATGCTGCCCAAACATTCGGGCGATCATACTCCATAGCGGCATGGATGGCTGTATCTTGGGCCCCCACCAGCCGATCGACTGCAGCCCAATCTCTGCCCCAGAGCATCCCATGCTACACTGCTATAATTAAATCCGCCCGTCTCAAGAGCTCTCACGGCATCAGAAATCCTTCTGAGCACTTCTTGTGCAACTCTATGAAGCTTGCCTACAGTTTGACTCCCCTTTGACCACGCAAATGGGGCAGGACGCTCCGTCGGACAGTGCTGGCCCCTCGTCCCCGCCACCTCCGTTGCCTGAGGGCTGGTGAGTTAGCTCCGATACCGTGTAGATTCGTTGCTTTCAGCCCGGTTCTCATCAATACAGACACCTGCTGACATATACGTCTCTATTGAGAACAGGTTGGCTCAGTGGGAGGGCGTCTCCCGCCGGTGGTATTACGTTCAGCGAACGAGCGGCGTCACCCAGTGGGAAGTACCAACCCAGCCGATTATCCTCACGCCGTCGACCACCCCAACATCGACAGGTACTGGGCCCTCCAGAGGCCCACCCTCGGCAGCCAACAGTCCGCCGGTGGAGAGATGGCAGAGTATGACACCAGCGGAGGGATCGTATAATGCTGGAGCGGAGAGGGGAGGGTTTTCCGTATGCGGCCGCGCTCTCATTGCATTTGTGTTTGCGTGTGCGATAATTTAAACGATATGCGCTGATGCGTGGAGTAGAGCTGGCTGGCCAGCTCCAGTGGCAATGTGCAACAAGGCGGCGGTCTGTCGCAGATGGGAACGGGGATGATGGGCCGTTTCTCATCACAAGCAGCCCAGAATAGACCAGCGGGGCAACATCCTTTTCATGAGGTATTTGGTTCAAACTGGTTTAGAGGAGATATGCCAGTGATATGGCTTAGACGCTAACTATGATTCCATAGAATCGTTTCGGCTATTCGTCGGACGGCCAGGCGGGCGTCTATACAGGCGTCGCGCCACCGTATCATTCTTCCGGACAGTCGACACCTGGGGTAAACACCATGAACAATGCTAGTGGCGCTCCGCAGGAATCTGTGATCTCTGCTTCTCAGGGCTTCGCTGCCAAACTTTCTGGTAACGAACCAGGATCTCCTTTTATGCCCACCCTTTTCCAGGGACAGCAGCAGCCGCAGGCGGTTCAGTCCACCACTCCCTCAAATCTTCCACCTTCCTCGCAGGCGGAGACAGATGCCTCAGAATCCATGCCTGGAGTCACCGGCAGCACCTCTCCCAGCCAGCCAGAGTGGCGGGTCGGACCAAAGCCCCATGTGCCTATAGAAACGAAGCCTGCGACCACCCTGTCTACAGCAGGTTATACTATGGGAACGGGAGCAGGAATACAAAGCCAGCAGCAGCAGCAGCAGAGACCGACCACTCAAGGTTACAGCTCACAAGTTCCGTTCCAGGGTCTCCAAAGTCAACCACCTCTTCCCCAACCATGGGGAGTGGACGCCGCTTCTTCAGCCCAGACTCACTCGCCAGGTCCTCATCATGGCACCCCTGATGCTGGAACCCAAGACCTTCCCAGTGCGCTGCCAAGCTCACAGCAAGGATTCAACGTCCAGCATACGATGATGAAGCCAGGCGGGGTTCAAGAACAGAGCCCTGTAAATACCTATGTTCAGGGCTCTTACTCGCAGCCCTCGCCACCACCTTCATCGCAAGGCATGTATGCGACTCATCCTCAGTACCAGGCCTTTAGTCCCTCTCAACTGAAAAGCGAAGGGGTCTATACGGGTAGCAATCCCCTTCCAGCCACGACAACCACAGCAACAACGGGATCATACGGAATACCCTCGAGCATCCACCCCAGCCACGCAAGCCTAGCGAGTCAAGCCTGGGGAATTTCTCAACAGATCGGCGGTGCATTCTCTCACAATTCTGGATCCATGGGAGGCTATGCAAATAATTCCGGCACCTACCCACAGATGGCGAACAGTCAAATGGATGCGTTTACTGGTAACAACACGCACCCGGGCGCCTTGCAGCATTATCAGCCATACCACCCGGGACCTCATTCTGGTGGCCCAGCTCTAGGGAATTATAATCAATGGGGCCAGTCCACGGCACCTGCGCCACCACGCGCTGCAATGTCTGATCCTCAGTTTGTCAGTGGTCCTTGGGCATCAGTGACTCCTCCAGGAGGTGGTGGGATGCGGCCGCCCCCGCATTATTCTGGAGCTTACGGTTATGGAGGCAGATGAACTATCGTATCTGGATGAAATTTTCAGTCAATAATGTGCATGGGGATATCTATGATACCTGCTCCTCACTTCCTCTCAGCAGCCTTTTCTGTCTCTTAATTTTGGGGTAATCTCAATATTTAATGATTTTAATTTTCTGTGTCTATATTTCTAGGAATCCATAAATAGAATGCTTTTTCTTCCTTTCTTTCTTCTAACCAAACCCTGATCATACCGCGTAGTTCACTTGCTGCAGCGTTTATTCTAGTGTACGAGGTATTTATCTGACACCCTCCCTGGGGCAAAAGTCCTTTTCATCGGAGCCGTCCAAGCCGCTCATGCTCATGTCGGCAACAATGCGCTCTGCAACGAGATCTTCAATTCAGCCTGCTAATAATGAAGGGTTCGTTTTGCCCGGAGAACAGTCAATCTCCCTATGGCTACGTGGTTCCCCCTGTCGCACTAGTTCCTGCTGACAGGGGAGGGGGGGACTCGATGCCTAATGATGAGCCAACGTCTGACTTCGAAAACGAATAGTCCGCAAGTTGTCTTCCATTTACTCATCCTCAAGTATTTGTACTTACTGGCTCGTCTTTTTTGCAGTGCGAGTGATATCACCCCTATGGAATCGGACATCGCGGCAGCTCGATTCGAAAATGGACGACTTCACCATGCATACAAGGATGACGCGTCCTGACGAGAAACCTGCATTTCCCACCCGAGGAAGGCGACTTTTCACTGGGAATCTGACTTCCTCGACCGAGGTGGGCTGCATGACAAAAAGAAGTATGAGCAACTGAATATCGTGTACGTTTTTCTATCTGTATTGGCACCATTTCGCCAGCAGTTAGGTGCCCGGTTTGGGAACGGGATAGGATGCTTAAAGAGCAGCCACCACATCTTCATGCGGGTACAGGGACAGTCCTAGACATACCCCGACCAAGCGGCTGGTCTACCAGACCGAGATATCGATTGAATTTCGCTCAAATGATTGTACCGTCCTGGAAGAGCGTATTCTCACAGAGGGGTCTAAGACGTTCATTGAGGCAAGGGAGAAATTTGGCGAGATATTCCGGATTGCAGACATATCTGAGAAGAAGCTGGGTCTATAGCGTGGTGGAGGATTGATTTGCTGACAATAGAGCCAGTCGATGATTTCTTGATGCCAGACCGTCGGCTGTCTGATATCTGCATCTCTATACGACAAACTCGAGCTATCTAACTGGTTGGTCTTGTCAGAGGGAAACAACAAGACCAAGGAGTACCTAGACCACCTTGCCCCCTCCGCCCCCCGCTGATTGTGTAACAGAGGTTACAATCTTGTCAAACCGTGTATCTGGAAGGGCCGCACTTTTTCGCAGTTCAGATCCCAGATGCTGTACAATATGAAATCCCGATCGCCGTTGGTCGCCTAGTAAGGCCACCAACGTCGCACAAATGCTTCTGTGGCCCATTTCAAGAATACCTGACCTGTCTGGGGTCATACGAATGAACTTGTTCCATTCTCACTGTTGTACAATCAATATTCCTCTGCACGAATCGCTGGCCACCCTTTCGGCCTCCTCGTAATCAATTTGCGGACTGGCTTTGCATAGATACAGAACAATCCAGTCGCTCCGCTTGGGTAGTTTAATTCACAGATGATTAGGCTGACCGTCTATTAATACTATAAGTAAATTATTCCCAATATATAACTACTTATATATGTGTGCGGAGAAACCGCCACAGGGTAGAAACTTCGTCTCCAGCTCATCTTGAAACTTCCTGACCACCATGCTGACTGCAGAGGCTTGCTGGTTATTTGCATGGACGTCAGCCCTGGCTGCAACGGTCTGGTTTGTTATTATAGTGGTGCATCGTATCTTTTTCCACCCGCTGGCTGCGATCCCAGGTCCCCTTCTAGGACGGGCGACATACTTATACAGTTTCTGGTTTAACGTATGGGGCGCTCGCTTCTATCTCCAGGTTGAAAAGCTTCACCAGCAGTACGGTGAGTATATAAAATGAATCTCAACTTGATGCTACAAGTCGTATGCCTGTTGTTGACTGCTAATCTCTGGTCGGCTGTCTTTACAGGACCCGTCGTCCGCATCACCCCCTCGGAGATTCACCTAAGCAATCCCTCGAATATCGAGAAGATCTACTATATTGGGTCTCGGTATGGGAAGTGCAGTCGGTTTTACTCTGCCTTCGGCAGCGGCCAAGCGACTTTCACCATCGCGAGTCCAGATCTTCACCGCGTCAAACGGGCCGCACTCAACCCTTTCTTCTCGCGCAAGCGCGTCCTTGAGCTAGAGGAAATCGTTCAGGAGAAGGTATACAAACTCGAGAGTCGTATGCGGGAGGCCCTGGCTGCCACCGGCCGAATCGATCTTCACTATGGCTTCCGGGCGATCTCAATCGACGTGATCACCGACTACGCGTTCAACAGTTGCTACGATTTTCTGGATCGGAAAGACTTTGGTGTCGAGTTTTTCAGTATGCTCCGTGACCTCAGCCCCTGGTACTGGTACTTCCAGCAGTTTCCGAGTCTACAGCCGCTAGCGATGGCAACGCCACTCTGGCTGGCCAAGTGGACGAGCAAGACATTGACCCTTATGTTGACTTATGAGGGGGTGAGTGAATAACCGCCTGGACTAAAAATTAATCAGAAATTGATCTCTGCAGGCCTGCCGTCGTCAAATATTGAAGGTCAAGGCAGATATCGACGCCGGTGTATCCAAGCAAATTGCGCGGCCCTCTATCTTCTACCAGCTACTTCAGCCGGATGCATCGGAGGGCTATGTCGTCCCGACTGTGGAAGAGTTGAAGTGCGAGGCGTATACCATCATTGCGGCGGCGGCAGATACAACGGGAAACGCGCTGACGATTGCGGCGTACAATGTGGTAACCAATGCAGAGATCTATCGCAAGCTCACTCAAGAGCTGCGAGATGCATTTCCGGATATTGATGCGGAAATGGAGTTTCTGGCGCTGGAGAAGCTGCCGTACCTGGTCTGTTGTTATTCTTCTCCCACTGCCATCTGTATGGACTGACTCTCTTCAGACTGCGGTTATCAAAGAGGCTCTTCGGTATGTTTCTCCATTGATGATAAGAAGGTTATGCTGATTTTTAGTTTATCGTTCGGTGTTGCCGGTCGACTACCTCGCACCGTCCCAGAGGGAGGTGCCGAGTTCAACGGCCACTTTGTTCCTGAAGGCGTATGTTATCTTGTATTTGAGACGCACAGCCTGATACTAAGCAAGTAATACTTCTACAGACCGTTGTCAGCATGAGCTCCTGGATGATTCATCATAATGAAGACATCTTTCCAAATGCCGAGGTCTTCGATCCAACTCGATGGACCGATAAAGATAAATCCAAGGCTTTGGAAAAGTATCTCTTCTCCTTCGGCAAGGGATCGAGGCAGTGTGTGGGCATGTCGTAAGTTTCATCCTTGTCTAAATTCTGTGCACACATGGTGACCTTGATAGACTTGCTTATTGTGAGCTTTATGTGACGCTCGGCCGGGTGTTCCGTCAATTTGACAACCTGAAGACAAGGATAAAGACAAGACAAGAGCTACTTTACGATGATTACTTTTCCATGTTTCATCCGGAGGAATACAACAAGTTTTACTTTGAGAGAAGTGCCGGGTCAGCATCTACGCTTCCTTGATCCAACTGTACTTCCATCACGCACCTATCATCCAACATATAAATCCAACAGATTGATTGCTATATTTCGATATAAAAACCCTTTATTATGTCTCCTTTATCTAACCTGCTTTAGTAGAATTAGCACTGTTTCTATTCTTTCCCCATAAATGGCCTAAGTAGGCCTATCCTGATTATTTGAGTATCCTCTTGATGTCCTTTATCGGCATCTTCACAGCATCACATTAATCTATGACATTTCCGCGGCAACTGCCCATAATCTCCTAATGTGCAGCTCTCACTCTAAAATTCCCTCCTAGCTATGAACTGAGCTGTTCTCTCATTCCTCTTCTAACTTCCTTCATCCATCTCGTTGCCGACTCCCGCTCTGACCAGATACCTACATACCTCTCACGCACTCTTGTTGACATAATACTCCTTTCGCTACAGCCATAGTAAGTACTTTTTACGAGAGATGGAGGAGCTCAACTCACCTCACTTCAAGCTCAAGATGGCATCCAACATGAAAACCCCCGCTGCGAAGATAAACACTGTCAATTCGGAGATCAAGCCCGATGACGCTGCTTTCATTATCGAGTGCACCAAGCACATGGGCGAAGATCGCATTGTAAGACCTTCCCAAATCTCACCTGGACTCTCACATTCTCTCTTTTGCCTTGACTAACCTTCCGCCCAGGTTGATCTGTCTAAAGTAGCGGAGGCAATGGGTTATGCCAACGTTAACTCAGTTGGTAACCGTCTGCGTGCCCTCCGTAAGCGCCACGGAATCAAACTTGAATGCAAGATGGGCTCCGGCGCATCCCCCGTTAAGGCCAAGGTCGACACATCTGGCAAAGCGGCCCCTGCGAAGGGAAAAACCGGCGGTGACAAGAAAGCTGGAAAGAAGACTGGTGCCACTGGCGGTGGTAAAACTGCTGCTACTGAAGGTGAAGAAACCGACAGTGAGCCTATCTTGTCCTACAGCGTCCTTGCCGGTGCCAAAAGACAGCGTGCTCGCAAGGGCGCAAAGGTGTCTTCTAACGAGCCCATCCCCGCTACTGCATCGAAAGGCGTCACCGTGAAGACCGAACCCAGTGTCGTAATCAAGAAGGAGGAAGGAGGTATCTCCCCTTACCTGTTGGCAGCTGTCAACCAGGCTGCAGGAAATCTGGACACAGCCTCCAAGTATTCCAAGTAGATACGGCCAGCGAGTTTGACTGAATCTCTCTTCTTTTTAATATTCCTTGCTCTTTTCAAACCTGTTGCTCTCTTTTTCTTATCTCTTTTTCTTTTTTTGCTTCTGCAGTTTATGACTGAGAGATTATCACATGGCTGTTGCTTCTACATTTGTATCTAAAGGATAACAATGACACTACTTGATCCATAAAACTACAGTTCTACCTAAGAATTATCTCTTAGACTTATTTCTTCTTCTTGCTACTCTTGAGTCGATTTGAATCTCAGTGTATTATTTAGGATTATATCAGGGTGAAACACGGCAACCTGCACACACACACATACACATAACTCATGTATTCATTCTTTGACTACTATCTGCACTCTGCCTGGATACCTCTCTTTGTTCTGCAGGCTCAGTAAAATGTTATTCTTCCAGACTATCTAGACTATTTACTAGGTAGTTCCCTCTGGATCAGTTTGCACTGTTTTATAGCCAGCTAGCTTTGAAAGCCTCTGACAAAATGTCCAGGATCAGTAGCGACGAGCAATTTCAGTTTCTGATCAGCTGTCTTCGACACACAGTCAACGGCAAAGTCAGTCGAGATAGATCTCAGCCCATGGAAGCAGAGTACTGATTAAGCAGGTCGATTTTGCAAAGGTGGCCGGCGAGTGCAAGATTGTCTCCCGGGGAGCAGCGTAAGTCGCCATGGAGTGGCTCGTGTTGATATTTTACCTAAAGAAAAAGATAGATACAAGCGCTACGAGCGGCTTATGAAGGCACACGGCATAAATACTTCAGCTATGGCCCCCAAGCTTGACTCTCAAGGTACCGGTCCTCGCATCCCGGACTGCCCCAAGGCTCGAGTCCGGTCGGGGAGGAAGAAGAAACGCGGCCCCAAGCCTGCCCATGCCGAGATATCTGACTGGTCCTGTTTGATCCTCAAGGATGATCCGTCTCTCCCTTCTATTGAGGCAGTACGTGCTGCGGAGACCATCCCTGGCGAATATGTCAACGCCATCGTGCGTGCCGACAAGATTCTGGCCTCGTGGATCCCCCTGTCACAGGGCGAGAATGATGAGCCAAAGGAAGAGGATACAACACCAAGTGCCTCGGAATTTTATGAGATTTACTGTGCTGTCAAAGAGCGAGACGAGGAGCTGTACATACAGGAACACCAAGAATCTATGTCTTTGGGAATGGAGCTGGAGGGCGAAAAAGCCGGACTTTTGGGCGAGGTTGATTTTGAGAGCGAGGAAAATACGGAAGTTGGAGACATGGAATGCTTTGGAGACGTGAATATGGAGGATGCAGAGTCCGATGACAGATCCGATGGCAGAGACGCTGCTTGATCGAAATTGGTATTGGTTCAAGATGTACCACTATGGAGGCCTGTAATTTTAGCTAGCTAGGACTATGGTCAGGTTACCAGTACTTCAAAAATAAGAATTTCTATTATCCATACTAATCAAAAATAACTTGTTCCTGGGCTCAAAAGTTCAATCCGGGAATGTATAAGTTGGCTTTTGACATCGCTACATTCTGTCTATCCGTACAATTTATTATTTCGAGTTTAGATACCAGTACCAAAGCTTCGAGCTAAATATCATTCACCTCCCTCTTGACCAGCAGCTCCTCCCTCGGTGTCTCCTCCTCTTGCTCTAAACTAGACCATGGCTGTGTTTGTGTCTGTGCCGCGGCTACTGCTGCTGCGGCAGCTGCCTTCGCCGCCTGTCCCGACTGCATATCCACCGGCCGAAACTCGAGCATGGGGTGATATACAGGCATACCCGGGTATCCCATCGGCAGCATGGGGGTTGCAGTAGCAGTGCTTGTCGGATTTTCGATAGACTGCATCGGTAAGCCGTTCACCACTGGACCGTTACCTGCCTGAGCAGCCGGGATGCTTGAAAGATCAGGCAAGACGGTATAGGAGGGGTCCGTCTTGATGAAGGGGGCGGTAGCCTGAGGCAGGGTTTGCTCTTGTTTGAGGGCAGCCATGGGGTTCGAACGGGCAGGGGGGGGCGGTGGTGGTGAGATGGGTCGTTTCTCGCCTTTTTTAGACCCAGTCTTTTTCGGACGGGATGCCCGCGGCGTCGACGTCGTCCCTTCCATCTGCTGTTTGAAGCGTGAGTAGCGCATGCGAGCGGCGTGGCCGTTGGAGATTTCCAGTTGAGAGGCGACGAGATTCCAGTCAATCTGGGTTAGTGAGTATCAGCTCAAAGGTTTTGAGAAACGCTCAAATGGTATCCCTGGGTCTTACTGATTTCAAATCAAGCTGCTTAATGATCGTGTAGAGGAAACGGGCTGTTGGGCCATCAGTAGGCATCGCCTTGCTTCGTCGGACTGGAGTCGTCATGGCTTCTTGCAGTCAAAAACGTAGGTATCTTGGTAGGGGATGGTTTTTCCTGTTGGTGCAGTCCTGCACAGGGTGGGAGATGTTCATATATTGAGCTTCTGAGGAGAAGCATTTGCTGAGTGGGGAGAAAGTCGGCTTCTTGCAGCAACAAAGCATAGGACAGCACAGGAGATGAAAGCAGCTAAATAGGAAGTTATTTATTATTTAACCTATTAAGTTCCAGAATATAGACTCTTAAATACATTATATAGGATAGAACATGGAGGATAATAGAGATGTAACTAGTTGAATAAATACTCCTACAGACTTATATAGATTTTTTTTATATAGGTAACATCATTATTATATATATATTTTCTTTCCTTACCAAGATACTATTTACCAATATATTACTCTATATATTTATATGATTGTTTTTCCAGTTAGAACCTTAGATGACTTTAATATATTAATGTATCATGTGCGTTTCTGCTCCTGAAAGAATATCTTATAATATGTGTAGATAATACCTTGAAAGCCCAGAAAGCAAATACTATTTAATCCTATTCAACCTATAATCCTATTATCCTAGTACTTCGTCCAAATCCTACAGAGTGGCGTGCTGTCCTTACTCGCTGCCAGCATGCCGGATAAGGACGCCAGGGGTATCTCGAGATGGCCAATATTACCAACGTTGATTCCAACCAGCATCTGTATTCATATTGACTTCCTGAGCTGCCATAAGGCACTCTGTATCCAGCAATTCCGTTCCTCGCTGGGACCCCGTTTTGACGACTCTTTCCAAGAGCGATCTGTATTGACAGGGCAGGAACCAATTGCGAACCCAACAGCCCAGCACGAATTGAGAAGCCAGAGATCAAACAAGAATGTCAGGATGGCAATTCTAGAACTTAAGGCTTGTATAGAACAAAATTATAAGCAATATCAGAGTTTTATTCCGATATCCTGATAGGTGTCGTTGTCTCGCCGTCGTGCCGTGTCCGTCTTCTGTCCGATCGGTAGTAGGCAGGGAATATCGGCTCTCTATCAAATATTAGCAGCATAAAAAATATTTTCAGGACTTCTAGTGGGATCTTCTTAGTCTGGAAGCATTTGTTCTCAACTCGGGGGAAAGCTATATCGTGATACGATCTTGTATGGATCCGAAGAGGTCGGGTGGTCAAGCACTGCAACTGAAGGAGGAAAAAACCACAACCACACGAGAGTTAGAATAGAATATCTGAGAGAAATAGAATGTAAACAAGTCCAATAGAGTAGCGGAAGGTTCGTACGCTCGACTTTCTGTTCGAGTGGTTGGTAATTCGACGTTCTCGTCCGCTTGGTACACTCCTGTCGAAATGCGACCGGTGCGACCGGTGCGACCGTGACGGGTATACAGGCTGCTTGAAAGAGGTCTACTATACGATGAAAAAGCATGGATACCACGTAAATAAAGCTTCTAGGGATGATTATCAAGTGTACTGTTCACATTCTAGTGCTTTTATTTCCATTTCTAGACCTAATCTACACGGGATCATGTTTATCCGTGCTCGGAAGCAGTTAATCCGGTGCCGAAGCCCTAAGATCATCAAACATCTCTCCTCGTCTGCCATTTTGACAACTTTCCCATCTCTCCCATCCACCTCATCCAACGCCCAGAGAGACGGTGAGCCACCGGCAGGAACCCTCGGGTGACTGACCCCCACCCAGGTGAGAGTCGCTTTTTCGTGGTCTTCGCTCATTTTGAAACACCTCGCTGACACCGGTACAGGGCCTCGCTAGGTTGGGCCTATCGAAGGGGGGCGTTGGGGATCAGAATGAGTCGTTCACCCCCAGAGAACTGTCCGGAATCTGGATGTGAGGCGAATCATTGACTCCTGGGGATCCGCCTTTGGTAATGAGAAACAGGGTTGGCCAATTGTAGCCCAGGATCAGGCAGCGTCTCTATTAGGGTATGGCTGGCTGCTGGAGGCTCCGCTCTACATCGCATCGCCAGAGTGACTGGTTCTCAGGATCCTGAACAGGAGATGTGAAGGTGATTTTCTGCGGCGGCTGGGTGATCTGAATCTCTCAGAATCCACTAGAGAAGGGTATTTAAGCACCTTGCTTGCTTCTCATCTTTCTTTCTTCTCTCCTCACCCTCTCCCCCCCTTTCTCTGGAATACCATACAACACCATTCTGTTTCATTTCTTCTCTTTGTGGTACTTCCATCTCTCTCCCTTTGTCTTCTTGACCATCCTAAATCTTCGAAAGTCTTCGGGTCATCATGTCTAACTACCCCCTCTTTCCAAACCCTGAGGACGATGCCACCAACGAAGAACTGGACCCCTTCGGCTCCTATGGAACCGGTTCTCCTTATCCCCATATAGAGAATCCGGTTTCCAACGAGCAGGAAGGTTTGCAGGCACTTCAGGCCATGCATGGTATGCAGGGGTATCAGCAGAGTCAGCTGTACGTCCCTTCCATGTCCATTGCGAATCCCCACCCTTCAATGTTTACCCCCCTCCCTGTCGGTCCCGTCCCCTTCAATGATTTTTCTCGTGGCCAGCCTCGCGGTACCAGCTTTCATGTAGAGAATCCTTCTCATTCGTCTACCATGATTGCTGGAAACGCTTTGGTTGCGCCATTCGACCCCCTCCTTACCCCCGGACTCATGTACCCCGCGAGCGTCATTGGTCTCCCCCATCAACACCAGCCCAATAACATGACTGATCACGGTTCCCCTTCCGTTGACAGTCATGAAATTGGTCTTGGCAGTATTCTTTCCGAGAGCATCCCTGCAGCGAGTCTGGACATCCCCAACGACCTGACTTCTGATATTGGTGACAACAAAATGATGGAACCAATCGGTGCATCCAGTAACGCGGCTGAAGAAGTTGAGGAGAGCTCCGGATTTCAGTGGGATGTTGTGTGGGAAATCGTCCTCCTCCTACTCATTCTCCGTAAAGCCGGTTTTCCCGAGCTCAGCGAGGATCAGTGGAGAGAAATAGCCTTGGAGATGAGGAACCCGAAGAACTGGAACGGGGTCAGGTAAGTCAACCATGTCTTTTGGTGTTCATGTGGGATTTTTCAGATGAGCACCTACATTGCGTTTCGTCCACTGCTCGTGGTTTTGACTGTTCATAGACAACATTACAGGCAGGTGAGAGTACGAGTCATTGCCTCCCTGAATCTTGATGAGGAGCATGCCGAAATTCTCCCAAAGGTCCCTCGTTCAAGACAGACTTCCAGCATGGTGTGCCAGAACTTTTGCTTCCATTGCGACCAGGCAAAACAGGCGGCTGGCAATGAGAAAGAAGTCTCCAACAAAAGAACCCGCGGCAATAAGCCCAACGACGATGCAGCGAACGGAGCAGCAGGCGATACGGCAGCCAAACCCGCCCCCAAAAAAGGGAAAAATGCACGAAAGGTCCCGGCTTTCCCCCACGAACTGCAATATTTCTCGTATCCTAACCAGGTGTCAGATCATGGATTAAGAGGCTTTGCTCCAGAGTTCGTCAATTACCGAGCTTATCCATCGACTTGGATTTGGTCAGATGAGGCCCTCGAGAAAGAGGTGGCTGAACGGCGCGAGAAATTCAAGGACCTCGTCGCTAAGCCATCTAATCTTCCTCTTCCCATTCGTGTCCATCGTGCCAGACGGAAGCCGAAGAGAAAGCATCCTAGACGCCCCAGGGCTACTATTGCCAGTCGCAAGTGATTGTAAGTCAATGATATTCCGGGTTCTGTTCTTCTCTCAGAGGGTCTCTAACGTACCAAGGACTTCATCTGGGCTTCCGGGCTTCCTTTCTTCAACATCTCTGTGTTTCGCATCTCGGGTACCCGTTGAATTTTTCGATCTTTGAATGTGGTTTCATCCTTTTTTTTTCTTTTGACGATCGTTGCGAATGCCCCCTCCCTTTATTTTCACGAACTTCCTTTATGAATGTCTTCGCTGTGTTTTCCTTTTCTGTTTTTACTCCTTCTCAACGTCTGCCTTGGAATGCTACGCGAACAACTTGCAAGTTTGGAGGAGTGGTTTCGCTGGTTTCGCTGGTTTCGCTGGGTTCTTCGGTCGGACAAAAACAACAAGTTTCAGTGAGTTCAGTTTGGTCAGTTAGTTAGTTTAGTATCAATGCAAACAACGCAATGCCCCCGATGCAAACAAGTTTCCTTGACTCTTTGCTGTAAATTTTTCTCGCGGTGCAGGTCGAACGGAGCGAAAGCAACATCAAGGCATCGATGCTTGGTTGAATAATTGTCTTAGTAATCACGATATACTCGATTCTCCGCGACCTCGTCGGTTTACCCCTCCTTGTATGTCTCGCTGTCTGGATTCTAGATCTGATTGAAACCGCTCTATCCGGATCCCTGTATCTGTTTCATCGATAGGGAGTAGCAGGTCAGAAAAAATGGCTCTCGTCATGGTGGGAGCATGCTATATCGACACCATCCTTACGTGAGTTCAAGGAATGAATGACCAGGGTACTAGCAGTACCAAAACCAGGACCGAATGACTGAAATTGATAGAACACCTTATTACCCAGGAGAGGATGACAAGCTGCGTGCCTCAAGCCTTCATAAACGCCGCGGTGGGAACTGTCCCAACAGCGCCGAAGTGCTGGCACAGATTTTGGCAGAGGACAAAAGCTCAACAGGGTGCAAGACACCCGCTTGGGATCCCATAGAGCTTGTTTCTGTCCTGCCGGCTCGGTCATCAACCGCATCACGCGAGATCATCGCTTCGTTTGGTCAGGGGGTCTCGCTGGACCACTGTGTCTATCGCGAGGGTCATTCGGAGCCGGCCTCAAGTTATATCATCAAGAGTCAGGCAAATAGCAGCCGCACGATAGTCAACTACAATGAACTCGAGGAGATGGAGTGCCAGGATATCAGGTTAGCGATCGATGCGTTAGCTGGACGGGCGGCGTGGTTTCACTTCGAGGTAATATCTTCGTCCCTGCATTCTGCGGTTTGTCTTTGACTGCTACACGACATTTTTTTCATTCTGTCGCTGATTGTGACCGAAATATTTCATAGGGCCGCAATCCTCCTGTAGCTTGCTTCGCCATGCAAACCATCAGAAAAGAGTACCCTCATATCAAACTCAGCGTGGAGATCGAGAAACCCGGTCGCGAGGGACTCCCTCAGCTCGCTGGTGAGGCAGATGTCGTCTTTTTCTCCAAGAGTTGGGCGCAGGTATTTTCATTTCCAACTACAGCTCAAAGTTTCCTGCTCTCCTGTCGTTTGCCTGACGTCTCATCTAGGATCAAAAGTACGTTTCCGCGGAGGAATGTGTTCGAGAACAAGCCAAAACAGCAAGCAAAGCGTATGAAAGACCCTTCTCTATTGCACCGCTATAATGGACTAACTGGAATATCTACTTAGGAGATATTTATTCTGCACTTGGGGACAAGACGGGGCTGTGGGAAACGATATTGCCCGGTCACAGATCATCCATGGGCAAGCTTTCCAACCGGAGAAAGTCGTCGAGTAGGAGACCCTTTTCACTACTGATCAAGGCTTGATTTTTCCTTTCTAACCGGATTAGTACCATCGGCGCAGGCGATACTTTTATAGCTGGCATGCTTTTTGCACTCATGCGACGGGAAGAACAATGGATTCTTGCGAGGAAACTAGACTTTGCGAATCGTTTAGCCGGGCTAAAGGTGGCGCAAGAAGGCTTTGCAGGTCTCGGTTCCTTGATGGTTAGCTATATGAGCTGACCACGATGCGTGTCCGACGCGTATATACTCAGCTCGTCGTGTTCGTTAGTGGTTAGATTAGAGCACTGGCTGTGCAACTTTCATGGCTTTCGCCGGTACGTTGCTTAGAGAGCATCCTTCTGGCTTGAAAATATGGCCACAAACTGCCATATCTATTTTTTGAGGCATTTGTGTCTTCTTTCAAGCTCTAAATGGAAAAGTGTATATAGATCCATGGAGTATTGTGATAAATATATATAGTGTAGTATTACAATAACACTAACTCTCTGAATATATGATGTCAAAATAACAATACTAGAGTAAATCAGTTATAATGAGCAATGCACCGTCTGTTCGTACTTCTAATGACATCTTTCAAGGATTATTTATATTATATTTGATGACAAGTATGGGGGATTGCTCTTGAAGCTGGATCGAAGGTCTCATTCAAAGAATATTAGACTTGCGTTTGATTCTCCCTGATCAGCACAGCACATATATAGTATTATATATCTTTAATATAGCACTCCTAAATATCTGCAGTATTCCTTTTATCTTTTCTATAGGAGTTATTTTATTCTCTGATTTGATTGGCGGGCATGAATATCTCACGTGACACACAGACATAGAAAGCGGTGAACCCAAACTCGCAGAAGAAAAATAATTCTGCCGTTCAGTTTTCGGAGAGCAAAAAGAAAAGCTTCTTCCAGCCTTGAGCTTCCTGCAGCAGCACATCTCCGGCAATCTTCCGGCTGAACACACGAGATCATGGCTTCCGTGTATAAGACTGTTTCCAAAAAGAACTCCCGGCCAGTTGCCGAGGAGTTTAGCGACGACGAGGATGTGGACATGAACGAGTTCCTCGACGGGGCCGACGACACCAGCGACAGTGACGAAGAGGAGGAAGTTTCGGAGGAGACCAAGAAGCAATTACCTACGGGGTCTATGCCTAAGACTCGTGTGTTGATGTTGACATCGCGAGGTGTGACATTTAGGTAGGATACCCCTCGATAGCCGATGGAATAACTGGAAACATGCTAATCTTTCGGTCCAGGCATCGTCACCTGCTGAACGATCTTACTGCTCTGCTCCCTCACACGCACAAGGAAAGCAAACTGGATACCAAGAAGAAAACTGCCGGATACAACCTCCTGCTCAACTCGCTTGCCGACCTGCACTCCTGCAACGTGATCTTCTTCCTGGAAGCTCGCAAACACGGTGAAGATACATATCTCTGGCTGTCGCGCCCTCCGAACGGACCGACGATCAAGTTCCACCTCACCAACTTGCACACCACGGGAGAACTGGGCACAGGATTCGCCGGGAACTGCCTGAAGGGCGGACGTGGCCTCGTGGTCTTCGACCGCTCGTTCGACGAAAACGGGCCTGCTGGCACCGAATACCGGGGTCTGATCAGAGAGATGCTCCGTGGTGTGTTCTGCGTGCCCAAGCGTGGCGTGCGAGGCATGAAGCCGTTCGTCGACCGCATTATCGGTATCTTTGGTGTTGACGGGAAGATCTGGATTCGCGTCTATGAGATCCGAGAATCTGAGCCTGGAAGCAAGAAAAAATCTGAAGGCGAGGAGGAGGATAAGACCGCCAAACCGGCGGCCAAGGGTAAAGGCAAGGACCGTGGGCCGGAGGTGTCGCTCGTTGAGATCGGCCCGCGCTTTGTTCTCACACCGATTGTCATCCTCGAGGGAAGCTTCGGTGGTCCCGTCATCTATGAGAACAAGGAATATGTCAGCCCCAACCAGGTTCGTCGGGAGATCCGCATGAAGAAGGCTGGTCGCTACTCCCAGCGCCGAGACGACCAGACCGATCGTTTCGCCAAACGCAACGCACTAGGCCTGGGAGATGGCGCCCCGGTGAAGAAGGATGCCCTCGATTCAAGACAGCTCTTCAAATGAGCATCGAGTCTCTTTTTTTTCTTTTCTGTCATTAGACTGATACCCTTGGGGTACGCTTCTTGTTGTCCTGTATATTTCACGCAAAGGTTTTTATCACGGTCTTAGGCGTCTTGCAAGTGCCCTATATTGAAGAATTCAAAAGTTTTCCTCTACAATCTAGACCTATCGACTGTAAATCAACCTAGATCATCCTACATTTATACGACGTCGCATTTGTTGTGAGCAAGGGGGATTAGATAAGCATCCCCAGGATAAAAGCGCGCCGTCGCATCGCATCGCGACATCAGCTTTCCCCAATTCCCACCCGCACCGACGATGGCCTTCTTAGTGCCTTGTAGCCCCTTGTGGCTGCCCAAGTTTCTGTCTACTCTGTCTATTATGTCTGCGTTTGTTGCATCTTTTGACTTGACTATGTCTTCTGACCTGGGCAGCCCCAACGGCGGGGTCTCACTCAGATAGACTCATACCTACTACGACCCCGACTGCTGGGTGTTGGTAGCAGCCAGCAGCCAGCTTGTTTTTTATCTTTCCCAATCCTTATTTCAATAATAAATTTCTCTTGAAATTCACATATCGGACACGTATCATATCATACCATAAATCATCTCATCGTGAACTAGACGTAAGTGGATGATTCGGCGCTTCTCTGGTGCCTGTCTTGCTGACCAAGGCATAGATAACAGGATGATGTTGGCCTTTCTGCCCCCAGAGCTTTTGCTCCAGGTGTTCGCGTCCTGCGTCTCAGTCTTGGATGTCCTAAACCTCGCCGCTACCAGTCGCCACCTGCGTCGAGTCTTCCAGGCAGCCAGCAACAGAATACCGATCCTGATGAATGTTGCGGAGGTGGAGTTTGGCCCAGTGCAGGACATCATTCAACTCGTTACCCACAATGACAGCCAACCTGTCCACATTCTACGCGAGCCACCTATATCTGATGCCCTCTTGCGCCAGGTTGTCGAATTCGGCCGGGTCGCTCAGAGATGGGAGGAGATGTACCCGTTTAAGAAATGGAAGGTTGACTTTGAGAACCGTCGCTCACTCGGTCAGTTGGAGCGCTTTCGTCTACGCCGTGCCGTCTATCGTCTCTGGCTTTACCATCGGGCGTTCCATGTCGAGGCGTATGATCGTTTCTCGCGTGATCGGCGTCATGTCGTTGTCGACCGCGCCCGGCTGCTTCATAACTGGACTACGGGCGAGTTGGCTGAGATTGAAGACCTGCGCAAAATCATCCACGAAGTTATCGAGAATAACATCTGCCCTAGCAATGGGACCATCCGGCGAAAGTTTCGCAAACGCTTCCCTGAGACTTCCCACCAGCCCCTGAACATTCACCTCAATTATCCGCTCACTACACCCTCCTTGACGAACGGACTCTTCGCTCCCTCTACCGAGCAGCACTTCTTCACTGCACACCCGCCACCCGGCCCCGAGAACGACAGCTTCAAGCGTTGCTTCCGGTTCCACACACCCATATCCAACGACCCTGGAACCGACGTCTGGCCGGGATGGGGCGACGACATCCCCCATTATTACCTTGTCCAAGACATGATGAAGCTGGATCCATCCCAGGTCCTGTGGCTACGCAGCCATGCCCCACTCAAAGACCAAGTGGAAGCCTACGTCCGCACTCTGGGGGATTGGTTCCGCGACAACGGCGAGACCTTTGGAGATACGCTCCGCTTCGTGCTCGAGCAGAGAGGCGAGAACGCGGACGAAGTGCATCTTATGATCGACGACCGCGTCTTGGGGATTGTCCAGGATGACAATTGGGACAGCGACTGATATTGCCTAGTTGGTTTTTCTATGTGATTTGCACGAGGCTTTATGTTAGCGATAGCTCTAGCAGTACTTGTGTTTTTTCTTCCGTCGGATCTGGTTGCAACTCTTCACCGTCCCGTTGACATGATATGTAAAGACTAGCGAAGATTTTACCGGAGCCAAGTTTAAAGATGGGACACATTATAGAGATCCATAAATACTCAAGGATTTGACCGCCCAGACGTAAATCACTACGCGAACAAAGCAACCGATGATATCTTTCATTTTCCAACCCATCCCGCCACTATGAACAGACGCCGTGAAAACGACCGAGGGGCCATGGAATCAGGATCAACACATGGAATTTCAGATAAATCAAAGCAAAAAGGGAATAGAATGGAATCGGAAAGGAACATGACAAAAAAAAAGGGCGGGGAAGAAAAGGAAGACGACGCAATTCGAGAACAGCGAGATATTAGATCGATACTTTCAACGGATTATTGTATCTGTGGGATCGTAGATGATGTCCAGCAAAACAATTGGTTTCCCATATCCGTCTCGCCCCCTTTTTTATTCTCTCTCTGTCTCTTGACTGCCAATTCCATGATGCGCAGGAAAGTCATCTTTGTATATCATCTCCGTAAAGGCCCAGGGACAGACCAAAAAAGGGACACATAAAGACCATTCAATTATCACGTTGCAAAGAAAAGAAGTCAAAAATAGTGTAAAAGGTCGTGGTGATGAGCGTCTCGTGTCTGGTGCTTCTCAAATCTAGCAGCAGCCCTGCTTCGTCTCGGGATCCTGGGATTTGCTGATCTCCACCACTTGGCGGCGCTCACCGAGAGGGTTCTGTCCCGACTCGCTGTTATCGAGAGCCTTGCTGGATACGATGCGATAGATCTCTGTAGAGGAATCAGCCACAACTACCTACGGAACCCGGATCTCAGTATGTATCAGCTGACCTGTGAGGATGTTCTGGAAAGCAAGCTCAACATTGCTTGCGTCGAGAGCGGAGGTTTCGATGAAGGAGAGGTTGTTCTCGCCTGTGAAACAAACAGTTAACACCCTTCCACAACTAGCTTGGGGCCGATTTCAACATACTGGCAAACTGCTTCGCCTCCTCCGTGGGTACAGCGCGCAGGTGTCTCAAATCGCTCTTATTTCCAACGAGCATGATCACGATATTGGAGTCGGCGTGGTCCCGAAGCTCCTTCAGCCACCGGTTGACATTGTCGTAGGTCTGGTGCTTGCTGATGTCATAGACGAGCAGAGCGCCGACAGCGCCGCGGTAGTAGGCAGAAGTGATGGCACGATAACGTTCCTGACCAGCAGTATCCCAAATCTGAGCCTTGATAGTCTTCGAGTCCACCTGGATAGAACGGGTTGCGAACTCGACACCGATAGTCGACTTGGAGTCCAAGTTGAATTCATTGCGAGTGAAACGGCTCAGCAGGTTGGACTTGCCGACGCCGGAGTCTCCGATAAGCACCACTGTCCATACCGAACAGTCCGTATTAGCCCGCAGGTATATTTAAGGAGCGACGAGTGAGGAGTGCGGAATGTGCAGAGCTCGCGACATGATCCGAATGTGGCAACGTTACCTTTGAAGAGAAACTGTCAAGACTCCAGTCAGTATGTCCGTTTCTCCAGAAGCATCGAGCTGGAAAAACTCACATCATATTCGTCGTTGGCCATGATGAATAGCAGGCGAGCCGATCAAGCTCTATGCAGGGAACTGGTTAAAGAAGGAGCTTCGAGGTGGTGTGTGATGTTCGTAGGAAGGTTTCCCAGGGTGTATGATAGACCTGCGAAAACAAAAGTCAGGAACGCGGGGCTCACAACAAAAGTTATGGGCCAAAAAATCGGGTTTGCAAAAGCTAGTAACGGACCTGAAAAGTGCAACCGCGGAGCAACGATGAGAGTTATCCTGATAACCTTTGGGGTTGAAGCGACTCCCTGTTGGATGGTGCATCGTTGGCTGTGCCGAGCGGATGCCCGATAGGGGATAGACCAGAGTCACGTGCACCATCGACGACCTTTTGTTTGGAAAACGGTCGACACCACCAATAATCATGCCTCTGATCTTGAAGATAGAGGTTTCTTTCGGCGTCTTAGAGCGGGCTTTATGAATTGTCTGGTTTGACGACTGCACGTCGGTACTTTTCTCCAACTAATAAGGCAGTTTTATGTCTATCGGAGTGGCTACTAACCAATGGGTCGGATGCAGTCCCGTGCACCAAGATGCCGCTGGGTGAGGTAGTCGTCGTGGATGACGATCAAATATCTCTCACGTCAAGTGTCGAAAGTGAGCAGCAATCAGAGTATGAGATCGAGGAAATCCTGGCTCAGCGTGAAACCCACGAAGGCGTTCTTACTTTTCTCGTCAAGTGGGCTGGCTACGCAATCCATCGGGCCTCGTGGGAGCCCGCGGATCAATTCAATAATCCAGAGACCTTGGAAGATTGGAATGAAAAGCTCAGGAGAATCAACGACAAGAAAGCCCCGGCATTTGATGTTCAAGCCTGGGAGCGCCATGTTCTGAGGATCGAGGCTGATCGTAAAGACCGGAAACGCAGGAGGGCCGCAAAGAGGAACCGACTGCGTCAGCTGGCTTCTGATAGATTGAAGTCATCGTCAGAGCCAAATACTCTTCCTGATGTTTCATGCGCTGGACCGACCAACAAAGCTCTCACGACCAGGGATCCTTCACGTCCCCCTGATCGTAACGCTAACCCCCAGGCTGCAGCACCAAAGAAAACCACTGGAGCTGCACCTGAGTGCTCCTGGCCGCCAAATGAGCCTAGCAATCTTTCAGTATCACGATCAGAAATCCCACTAGGAAGTGCTAGTAGAGGGGCCATCCCCTCGCGCCCTGGACAGGAATCGAGATTCTCAATAAGTCATCCTCCGATAAATTTTGCGTTGAAGAAAAGACCTGCTACGGCAGACCTAACACCTTCAACCCCTGCCAAACGGTTCAATTTATCAACCCAGTGGCGTTATGAGAAATATAAACGGCACGAGCCAGCTCCTGACATTAGCCAATTGGAGTTACACGTACCCTCAAACTTTCCTGTCAAACCCGGGGAATTAAAGATATTGGGCGCTAGTAATGCCAGGGCTCAACAGGAGGAACATTACTTGGAAGATAATGAACTTTTCGTTGCACAGGATGGATCCACAACATCAGGATCTACAGATATGTCTATAGCATCACCACAACTATTCTCGACTCCAACGAACCAAGCGCCAAATGGTACACATGATATTCCGCTGGAGCAAAGGATTTCTACGCCTACTTCCCCTCAACCAGTTACCACGGCCCCCAGAACGGCACCTCCAGACCTGCAGAGTCCTCACCTACCTTCAAAAAAATACCGGTTCGCGCTTGGCGAAATTTTGGTCTTTGCCTACTATGGGCCTGAAAAGACGGAGATTGGACCTGTTCGAATATGTGGTGCGAATAGACGGACTAAAATCAACTTGCTCCGTCACAAGAAGACACGAGACGAAAATGTTGAAGTCTGGTTTCGTGATGTTTGTACGCCAGAGGAATACGACGATAAGCATGGTAAAGTGGTCAGTCCCTTCCCGTGTGATAGAGGTTGGCTCGAGGGATACGAAGAAAGTAAACAAAATCTACGCCAGATGGCAAATGTACTCCGGACAAAGAACTCCATGGCTATTTATCGTCCCAACAGTTCAGCAGATAACGTCCTCATTGCCTACTGGCCACACTCCGCCACTTCTAGGTTTGAGAATGGAAGACGCAGTCCTCCGGCAGAAGATTCAATTTGCATTTCTGTCAAATGCTTACGAAATGGAGCCAGATGGCCACGACGTCCGTCACCACAGCCTGGGGAGACAGATAGACCATCCCACCTCTCAAGCCCGGCCCGGACACCGACAGGACCAAGTTATCGAAGAAGGACTTCCAGTATCATTGAAGAGCCCGGAAAAGCAAGACCCTTGCCTCTAGGGCCATCTTCACCACATCTCAGTCAGCAGGTAGCCGCTCAGCTCAGCAATAGCGACACCAAACCCTCAGGACTCCTCCAGAATCAACCTCAAAGATTACGGTCTCCGGAGCCCGGCGGAAATGACAGAACCGATGAAAATTCAAAGACACGTTTTCGGCCTGAGTCTCGCCACTTAGAGGCCGGACGCCATATAGGATTTCATGAGCAGCCTGTCGCCCACCCCAAACCCAAGATCAGTCTCCAAATTGAGACTTGTCTCCAACCTGAAGTCCGTCGGTCCTCAGAAACAGGCTTCCAATCGCAGGAACTCAAGCCACAGGAGAGTGTTTCAAGATTTTCACGTCAACCACTAGATACTGATCGGCGACCCGAACCTCAGACAACCAACAGCACCATACAGTCCGATATAAACTTGACGGACAATTCAATCGAATTTTCCAAGGCAGCTCCATCCTTGAGACAGACCGCACCTTGGCCTGGAAAAAAACAGCTGGAGCTTAATTCTCCATCAGGACAACAACTGACTAAGGAATTACAAGAGCATGGATACGGAAAAGCAGATACCAAGCTCCAATCATCCATGTCAAGGCTGGAGATCTCTGGTGGGACTTCGAGTGTCCCTGTGGATGTCCCACGGTCAGCCGGTCAATTTGACTGGACATCGGTCCTTGGACAGCCAAACATAGACGCTATTATTGAATCCAAGTGTTCATTCACATTCAAGGAGCTCGCAACTATTGGTGCACCTGAGAAAGCCGTTCTCGCAAATGTCTTTTACGTCCTCTATCCCATCGAGGATGAAAAAGTCGATGCTGAATACAAGGCCCTTGTTCAGTTCCTGAAATCTCACAAAGCCGTTGTATTTTCGAGCCGGATAGATGAAGATTGGGAAAAGTTTGCCCTGACAGTACCTATTTATCAAGGCGTTGTACTGGTACAGTCTTATCGATTCTTGATGCGAATGCCTGAAGAACCGCTGACATATTGTATAGTTCCATGGTGATTTTACGAACTATCACGAACTGCCTTATCTCAAGGATGTTCTATCTAAACAAGCCAACTTCTGGCGTATATCACTGTCGAAGACTCTTGAATATGTGCCTCAGCCTGTGCATTTACAACGCGTTTTCCCACGCGGTTCTGTAATATTGATAACAGAAGACTTGATGGTAAACGATCAGTGCGGAACCATGATTATTCTCATGTGGTTTATTCGAAACATCAAAAGCGGCAAGCTACCAGGTACCTGGAAGCTCTTCCTACGCCCTAACGTCATGAAGTGGCTGCTAGAAAAGCATGACACCTCTAAGGAGGAGAGGGAATCTGTATAGTGAGTTCTAAATGCTGAGAAGACCAAAGAGACGACGACTTACCATTCCATAGCTGGCTGGCTATTTACTATCTTATCGACACCATCAACGGCACAGGAAATGAGCCTGATGATGTTATTGATGACCCTTTCACGAACACTCTCATTTCACCAACCTTTATCCCTCAATACAACTCTTATCAAGACACAGACCGCCTTGTAGAATTCTTTGCAGGCTGGGCTTTACTCAATAACCATCGATTCCGTCGGTTTCACGTTGCCACCTACCAGAAACCTCTTCCAAGAAGATGGGGGGAATGGAATCATGTAAGTATACAATGATATGATTCTGACAAAATTTCAATCGCTGATTTATGTACTTTGTGAAGCTCGATATCCGGCCTAGCCCCAGGGAAGTCTTCAGACACCTCGATATCAACCATAAAGAGGTCTGGGAGAAAGTGAAACCTATCATTCGAAAGGTGGAATCTTCTTCAGATCCCAGAATTCAAACTCCCCAACAAAATACCTACACGCCTCGAACGCCCAGAACAGTGTCCTTGCCACAGCAGTTGGACGGCGCCTCTGAGTCTTCTTCATCAAGGAAGTCGCTGCCCGTCAAAACCACAAAATACAATTATCCCGACCCATATCACTAAGGATGAGTATGGAGAAATTTCGGAATGAGGAATCGTTTATCTCATATTATGTCAAGACTATTACGATCCATGAAAAGTTAACATGTTACATGAAAGTTGATCTGTATGATACCCATCTATTTTATTGTGGAATTTATGAACATTCAGGTAGCTTAAACAAGCCTTGAAAGACCATTGTCTTCAGGGACGATGGAAACGAAATTCTTTTTCTCCCAGACATCAAATATCATAGGCCACATCAATTTACTTGCTAAAAGCCTAGAAGAAATCATGACTTGAAAAACAACCCCGTCAATAAACGCTAACGTCGTGACGACATAACAAGCGGTGCAAGTGGTACTATGTTCGTAAATCCAAAATGACCCCCCAAAGCAAGCCGACAAACCGAGGCTATATAATAGAGATGAGGTTCATTACTACGCGTCCTTCTGCCAGGCTAGTACCCTACTGCTCGACTTCGATACTCCTGGAAGCTTGAGATCCCCGTGTCCGAAGAATGATCGACGGAGGGTTCTTGATCCTTCTTTCCACATTGATTCTTCCTTTCCCATTCACTTTCTTCTTCCGAGATTATGGCTTTGAATCTGCTCCCCTGGCCTCTGGCAAAGTAAAGGGGTTTTTCCTTTCGCTCGGCCACGTCTTCAGTCACAAGCAAGAACTTCACACTCGACCCAGGCGCCTCGAACATTGCATCGCCTAGGAGGGCTTCGATCTCCGTTCTCAGAGCTCGCGCCCCGGTGCCCATCGAGAAGGCGTTGGCTGCAATCTTGTGTAGGGCCGGGGTTGTGAAACGCAGTTCAATCCCGGAAAGAGAGAAGAGCGTCGTGTACTGTGCGATAAGGGAGTTCCGGGGCTCTGTTAGCACCCGGAGAAGCAACGGTTGGGTGAGCGTAGAAAGAGCTGCAGTCACGGGGATACGACCGATAAGTTCCGGGATGAAGCCATATTCTTGGAGGTCCGACGGGGTTAGAAGGTCCAGGGGGTTGAAATATGTCGGCTCGCCGTCAGTTGTTGAACTATAGAAAGGAAGGTGCTTTTTATATAGGATGTCTTCTTCGGAACCTGGGATGATGGGTATGGGAATGGTGCCGTCCTGTGATGTTTCGAGTCTCGCAGTGGGACCGGCCGCTGCTCGAACCGGCTGCCCAAAGCCAATTGAGCCGCGCGATATCCGGTCCATTACAAGCTTATGGAGGCCGACAAACGCCCCAGAGCATATGAAGAGAATGTTATCGGTGCGGACTTGGAAAACCTCCTTTCCTTGTTGCTGGCCGGGCATGGTCCCCGGCGCACCTGGGCGTCTCCCAAGGGGACTGTTTGAAACATCGATATCTGGCCCAGTTTCATTGTTTCGTCTATTCGGCCTTGCCATCACCTGGACGGTTGTTCCTTCGATGATCTTCAACAGCGCCTGCTGTACGCCCCGGCCACCAACATCTTTGGTTTGACTGATCTTTGCGGCCGTGATCTTGTCAATCTCATCTAGAACAATGATCCCGCGTTCCGCTTGCTGAACGTCGTAGTTGGCTGCAGCCAGCAGCCTCTGTACGCAACTATCGGCATCTTCTCCGATATACCCAGCCTGTGTGAATGGCGTGCAGTCCGAAATGCTGAAGGGGACCGAGAGGACTTTAGCAAGTGTTTTCGCCATCAATGTCTTTCCCACACCAGAAGGCCCGAGCAGCAAGACATTGGACTTCTCCAGCTGCAACGGCGACGTATCCGTTTCTGTTAGGGCCGATGGAGGGTCTAAAGTCGTCTGTGGAGGATGCGGAGCCTCGGACATGTCGACTGTCCGTTGTTGGCCAGGGAATTCATCTAGATATAATTTCTGTGTCAGCGAGACACTGTAATACACTGTGTCAGCCTGGGAGATATACCCTCTACCGGATGGCTCTCAATAGACGCCCTCCGGGCGCGCTGGGCCTGCTGTTTCATGGCCTCATGTTCTCGTCGCTGCAGTTCCCTCACTCTTTGATAATGATTGAATACAGCCACACTCAACACCTTTTTTGCTCTATCTTGACCGACAACGAATTGGTCCAGATACTTTTTCAACATCCTGGGTGTGATCTGCGGAGCTCCGAGAATCGGAGCTGAGGCTAGGGGCCCTGGAGTCGGTAGGCCAGGCTCATAGCTTCCTGTGAAAGGCTGGTTTGTGAAATCCGATCGATTGAATTGGGATGAGGTTGGGAAAGAGGAAGAAGAACTGGAAATATCTCGACGAGCCACAACCAGACGTGCACGCGACATCGGAGACCAACAGCATGTACGGGCGCAAAGAGGGCCGCCAGGCCGTAAGGGAAGCCGGCGCATCGTTATAAACCGATTTGTACGATATTTAACGGTCACGAAAGATATGAAATCCGAATACAGAGGCTTAATTCGCGACACAGGCTGGCCGTCGTACAGTTCCAAGAGGTATGACGAGGATGAGGACTCCTTACCGTGCGTGATGCTTGATCAGATAAGCCGTGGAGCTTTCCCCGCACCACGTGATGCTTATCAGCCAGTGTCAGCTGATTTCTCAACAGGTTCTATTAAGAAGGGAGGTAGGTAGCTATAGATAACTAATCGAATGGCAACATATCATGGTTCGGTCAATGATACGAACTAAGTACATTGTGGTGTTTTTTCTTGCTCCACTATTGGCTTGGAGACTATACCAGTGGAATTGCTGTCAACATTAGTGGCAAACCCGCACGAAATGGGAGGTTTCGCAGCAATTCAATATGGGCCTCGAAAATTCCCACTGGAGGTGTTGTTCCAGACAAGTGTCTGACTGGCATAGGGCAAGAAGTACACGGCAGCTTATTCTTGATGTTTCCAGCATAGTTGGCTTTCCTTCCTTCAACAAGCCGGCAGAGACCTGGTGAGCCGATATGCCGTATGTGACCTCGTTATCCCCTAATGGCTCGTTGGAAAACGGGATTTTCCATAGCCTGCTGATGCAGACTACATACAGCCCTTGTTTTCACCCCTCTCAGCAGTCATTATAGAAAGATCCGTGAAAAGTGTCCAAACAGCGATTCGATCTTCGGCGGATACTCCACGACTCACTGCTTTGCTTTGAAGACGGGTTGCTGCTCCATCGTCTGAGAAATGAAGTTCCTCAACGCCGCCCATCGGTTTGAAGTCGAGCTCTGCTCCGAATCTGGATTCTCGCCGCCAGCAGCCGGAGGGGCTGCCTGGATACCTGTCATCTGGGCCATGTTCTTCGCAAAACGATCGCGTTCCAGCTTCTCAATTTTTTCCTTTCGCTTGAGTGCACCGGGCTTATGTCTAAGTGTTTTGTGTTTGATGATATTCACTTGGTTGCTCGCATCGGTCATCTCCGATTCGGCATTTGGAAGAGCATCGGCGAGAGAATCGAGATTGGCGACAAGTTTCTTTGACGGCCGTCTGCGCTTCACCGCCTTCTGCGAGCTCTTCTCAATCTTCGAAACGAAGGCCGAGTGCTTGATCATGCGTTTGTCCTTCTTGTTCGTCCGAAAGTCATCTGTGAACGGGCCAGTTTTGGTTGACGGCAGGGAACCTCTCCCGCTGGCGGGCTTTCTCACCGCGCCCTGCTTCATCTTCGATCGAATAGGGGCCTGTTGCTGTTGTCAGAAAGATCCACCTCGACCTGTGAGCCCAAGTGGGCAGGCACTCACCATTGTGTGATGTTCCAACTTCCCAGCCTGGCCTGCCGTAAACAGCTTGGAAATTTCTTATCGTCTTCACGCCTCGGCGCATGTGCAACGCCCCCCCTGGGTCGGGCTAGTCCATATCAGGACTAGAGCGGCGATGCCCATGTCGTGTCGCTCACCGCCCATGTGACCCCCGGCACTTTTGGTGGGGCAAAATCGTTGGGCTGGACTGTTCGCTTTTTTTGGCTGGTTGTAACAGGTGGAAGGAGGCCGAAACGCAGCAGAACAAACGGGTCTTTTCTATTCCGGCTGGAGAGAGACCCAGTCGATTCGGGGCTTGATTGGCATCCGGGCTACCAACAGAAGAGTGTCGTCGTTTTTGATATCATTGTGATCCAATTTCCCAGAGGTGTGGATGTTGTCGCCTGTGCGTTTTTTATCTCGTCGGAGCTGTTTTCCTGATCCTTGTGCCACCACAACCTTACCTCGGTCCTCGTGGTCTCAACGCTTCCTATCCACTAGGACAATCTGCCGTTCGCATTATTTAAGGCGTCGTCATCCTTCTGAGGCCCCGGCATCCTTCTCGCACCGGTATCCCTCGCATCCCAACACTCAGTCAAGGGTGATTTCGACCACACAAGCCAAGATGGTTGGATCTCTGGGACCGAATTCGCGCAAGCACAAGGTTACGGTGGTAGGCTCTGGGAACTGGTCTGTGCCCCCGGTGCTGCAGTCTTCTGCATGTGTACATATGCTGATTATCCTATTTTTTTTTGTCTTGACAGGGGTACCGCAATTGCCAAGATTGTCGCTGAAAACGCCGCAAATAGCAATGGGATTTTCGAGGAGAAGGTTGAGATGTGGGTGTATGAGGAGAAGATCGAAATCCCCGAAACTTCCCCCCACTACGATGCTTCGTCCCCTCTCTGCCAGGGCGAGCAAAACTTGACGGATGTGATCAACAAGTTGAACGAGAATATCAAGTACCTCCCTGGGGTTCGTCTCCCCACCAACTTGCATGCCAACCCCTCGCTGGAGGATGCAGTCAAGGACAGCACGATCCTTGTCTTCAACCTTCCCCATCAGTTCATCCTTAGAATCTGCGATCAGCTGAAGGGAAAGATTCTGCCATATGCTCGTGGCATTTCTTGCATAAAGGGTGTTGATGTGAACGAGAATGGAATCCACCTGTTCTCCGAGACCATTGGTAAGAGACTAGGCATCTACTGCGGTGCTCTCTCTGGTGCGAATATTGCCAATGAAGTGGCCCAGGAGAAATGGTCAGAAACGAGCATAGCCTACGATCCCCCTCATCTTGACTCGAAGTGTCCTACTCCCCATCGCTCTCCCAACTCCTCCACGGTTGATATTGTTGAGTTTGAGCACAAGGATACCTCTGGTCAGATCTCAGATGTCAAGTTGCAGCCTGTACCCAACGAGTACCCTCCCGTCGACCATGCGTTACTGAAGAGGCTTTTCCATCGCCCGTATTTCCATGCCAGCGTGGTAAATGACGTCGCCGGTGTTTCGCTCGGGGGCGCTCTCAAGAATATCGTCGCTCTGGCTGCCGGTTGGGTCGACGGTATGGGATGGGGTGACAATGCCAAAGCTGCCGTGATGCGTGTAGGCCTGTTGGAGATGGTCAAATTTGGCGAGAAGTTCTTCGGTGCCACCATCGAGAACCGCACCTTCACGGAAGAAAGCGCCGGCGTGGCGGATTTAATCACCAGCTGCAGCGGCGGTCGCAACTTTCGCTGTGCTAGACTAAGCATTGAGCGCAATCTGCCCGTTGAAGAGATCGAAAAGACCGAGCTCAATGGACAGAAGCTTCAGGGCACCCTGACTGCCATCGAAGTCAATAGATTTTTGAGTAAACAGGGTCTCGAAAACGAGTTCCCTCTCTTCACTGCTGTCTACCGTACGTCTTTCCATGCACCTTCCACTGCATTCAATCCCAAAACTCGTTGCTAACCAGCCCGTTTATTTAGAAATCCTGCAGGGTAAAATGTCCGTCGCCGATATCCCCCATCACCTCGAATGCTAATCTGACGGTCTGGGCCGAATCTCCTTTCCATTGCTATACCTTTGCTTGATGTGTTCATAAAGGGATTTACCATACAACCTTGGGACTGGGATTGTCCTCTTTACAGGGATGGGTGGGAGTGGTTTACGGCGCCAAGCGTATGGTTGGAAGAGCGATCCATTTTTTGACTTGTAATGCCAGCGATGGTGTGATTATTCATGCATGCCACGATGTTATGAGACATCATAGACAGTTAATTGACAACTTTTAGCGTCTTTTTTATATGTAGTTTACCAAAGTGCCTACTACTGAACTATCCAGTTACTTGCTCCTGGCGGGGGCCAGTTGGTCTTTCGAGCGATGATGTCAGCGACTCGGCCAGCCCCGCGTAGACTCTCCAACATCCAGGAACAAACAGCGCCGTCAATCGGGATGGCCCGTTCCCTGTTTCTTTCCCTCTGCGTGTACCAAAGAAGGAACCTGACGCAGCCTTCTTTTCTCTGTGCCTTATAATATAAGTTTCTAAAGGGACGTGAGCCTGACGGTTCCAGTCAGTCCTTCGTTCTGCTTTCTATCTCTCGGCTCGCTCTCTTACCGCCGCCACAGTCCACCTCCCAATCAATATACGCTGAAAATATCAAAACGTGGTCATCATGAGCTCTGCTCAGCAGGTTTACTTGCTTCCACTCCAGGATGATGGTTCCCCGGGTGTGCCGGGAGGATATATTTACCTTCCTGCTCCAACGAAGCCCTCGTATTTGCTGCGATTCGTGATCGAGGGTACAAGCTCGATATGTCGACAGGGGAGCTTGTGGGTTAATATTCCCGAAGAAGGAAGCGAATTTTCTCGCACGGGGTTCAGAGAATTCAAGTAGGTGTATGGCCCGGTGGCACTCTGGAGAGAAAGAAGAGCCGTTAACTCCTAGACCTCAAGGCTTCAGCCTGACTTCAATAAGAACATCCAAATCGACATACCTATCCACTCTGCAGGCTCATTTGCCTTCTATACGACATACTCACCCCTCCCTGAGTTTTCCGTGTCTCCAGCTCCCTCACCGGAGCCGACTCGGACGCCGGTACACTATATCGACGTCTGTCCCCGGTTGACCCTACAGGACAAATGTATCCCATTGAATGCTGTTTCGATCTTTTCTGTTATCTCGAAATTCATGGGGAAGTATCCCACGGACTGGGATGATCATCTCAAAGGAATCAGTCAACGCGGGTACAACATGGTCCATTTCACTCCGCTCATGGAGCGTGGCGACTCGAATTCCCCGTACAGTATCTTTGACCAGTTGTCATTCGACCCGCAGTCCTTTCCAGATGGAGAGACTGACATCTCCACGATGACCACCAAGATGGAAAACGAATACGGGCTTTTAGCGATGACAGATGTGGTCTGGAACCACACTGCCAACAACAGCAAGTGGCTTGAGGACCATCCGGAAGCAGGATACAGCGTAGAAACTGCTCCGTGGCTGGAAGCTGCGTTGGAATTGGATACCGGGTTATTGAAATTCAGCGAGGAACTTGCTTCGCTACAGCTACCCACTGAATTCAAGTCCGTCGATGACCTGGTCAACGTGATGAATTCTCTACGGAAACATGTCATTGATGGCATGCGGCTGTGGGAGTATTATGTCCTTGATGTCGAAGCCAACACAGATAAGATCATCGACGCATGGAAGCAGGGCAAGGCCGGAGTGCGCCTCGATGGCTTGGAGAGCATCAAGAGCCAGAGTTTGAAGCAACAAGCAGAGTTGTTCCGGGGCAAAGCGATACACAACGCTGAAAAGATCCTCGGCCGATTCAGCCGTACGGTCGATGTCGAAGTAGGAGCAACCATTTTGACAGCTCTCTTCGGGTCACCTCAAGATGCTGGTTCTGATGTCTCTTCGATTGCAAAATCACTGCGAAGCATTCTTGACGAAGTGAACCTCCCATTCTACAAGGAATATGATGGCGACGTATCCGAAATCATGGAGCAGATATTCAATCGTGTCAAATATCTGCGGATTGACGATCACGGCCCGAAGCTGGGTCCTATTACGAAAGAGAGTCCTCTCGTTGAAACATACTTTACGCGGTTACCCTTGAACGAGACAACGAAGAAGCACAGCCCAAAGGCTCTGGCTCTGGTGAATAATGGATGGATTTGGAATGCCGATGCTCTTCGAGACAATGCTGGACCCGATTCCAGAGCATACCTCCGTCGAGAAGTGATCGTCTGGGGTGACTGTGTCAAACTTAGATACGGTTCCAAGCCAGATGACAATCCATTCCTATGGGACTTTATGACCAGGTATACTCGTCTCATGGCCCGGTATTTTGCAGCCTTTCGAATTGACAACTGCCATTCTACCCCTCTTGTTGTCGCTGAATATCTGTTGGATGAAGCGCGCAAGGTGCGACCTAACCTTGCTGTTTTTGCCGAGTTGTTTACAGGTTCCGAGGAAACAGACTATGTTTTTGTCAAGCGTCTGGGGCTGAGCGCACTCATTCGCGAGGCCATGCAGGCCTGGAGCACTGGTGAGCTGAGTCGGCTGGTTCACCGTCACGGTGGCCAACCCATCGGGAGTTTCGACCTCGATTTGCCTACGGCAGGAAGTAGTCATGCTATTGTGTCTGCATCTGCTGGGACACCTAACGAGAAGATATCTCACATTCGCCAAAGCCCTGTTCAGGCGTTGTTTATGGACTGCACTCATGACAACGAGCTTCCTGCTCAGAAACGAGACGCAAGAGACACCTTGCCAAATGCTGCTCTGGTAGCAATGTGCGCTTCTTCGATAGGAAGTGTGATGGGTTACGACGAGATATACCCTAAGCTTGTGGATCTTGTGCACGAAACGCGTCTCTACGCTTCACCATATTCTGGCTCTACTGATCTTCAAATTGGAGCGGGCGAAGGAGGGATCGGAGGTGTCAAGAAGCTTCTTAACCAACTTCACACCATGATGGGTGTTGAGGGATACGACGAGACTCACATCCACCACGATGGAGAGTTCATCACTGTACATCGGGTCCACCCCAGAACGAGGAAGGGGATTTTTCTCATCGCACACACAGCCTTCCCAGGAAATGGACCCCAGAACTCTCTGCCTCCTACGCATCTCACAGGTACCAAAGCCAAGCATATCGGTTCCTGGCTGCTAGAGGTGGAAGCAGATGATGATTCGAAGAACCAGGTCCTCTCTGACAAGAGCAAATTGAGGGGCCTTCCAAGCCGTGTACATGAGTTTGATGGTGTCAAGATTGAAGAAAATGGCGTTGATAGCTCTATCTATGTGCTGGAAGGATTCGTTCCAGGGGCTATCGCATTGTTTGAAACACGGATTCCTGGCGCCGAACACGCTTCTGGCTTCGAGAGTCATATCACCGATGGTGCAAACGAGGCCTTCTCCAATCTCAGTCTGATCGACCTCAACTTTGTGCTTTACCGCTGCGATGCAGAGGAAAGAGATTCAAGTGGTGGCCGGGATGGTGTCTACAGCATTCCTGGCCACGGTGCTCTCGTTTACGCAGGCCTGCAGGGCTGGTGGAGTGTACTGGAGGGGATTGTCAAGTACAACAACCTCGGCCACCCACTGTGCGACCATCTACGACAAGGTCAGTGGGCGCTGGATTACATTGTTGCACGCATGGAGAATGTCGCCCAGAATGAAGGATATGTAGGGTTGGAGAAACCTGCGGCTTGGCTACGGGAAAGATTTGAAGCCATCCGCCGTGTTCCCAGCTTTCTTCTACCCCGATATTTTGCAATGGTCATCCAAACCGCCTACAATGCGGCTTGGCAGCGAGGTATCCAACTAATGGGCAAGAACGTTCAATATGGCCAGGAATTCATCCATCAGCTGGCAATGGTTAGTGTACAACAAACTGGATTTGTCAACTCAGCCTCTTTATGGCCAAACAAGAACGTCCCCAGTCTTGCTGCTGGTCTGCCACATTTCTCAACAAGTTGGGCAAGATGCTGGGGCCGTGATGTATTCATCTCCCTTCGTGGCCTATTCCTTTGCACGGGTCGTTTCGACCTAGCCAAGGAGCACATATTCGCGTTTGCTAGCGTGCTGAAACATGGAATGATACCAAACCTGCTGAGCAGTGGAAGAGCACCACGCTACAACTCTCGGGATTCCATTTGGTTTCTCCTTCAGTCTATACAGGACTACACCAAGATGGTGCCAAATGGCAACGAGATTCTGAAGGACGTCGTCCCACGAAGATTTTTGCCTTACGATGACACTTGGTTCCCTCACGACGATCCTCGAGCGTATTCTCAGCATTCAACCATTGTGGAGATAATTCAAGAAGTCTTCGAAAGACATGCGCAGGGACTCTCGTTTAGGGAGTATAACGCCGGTCCTGAGCTAGACATGCAGATGAAATCTGAAGGCTTCCAGATCGATATACACGTCGACTGGGATACGGGGATCATCTTCGGTGGAAGCCAGCATAACTGCGGCACCTGGCAGGACAAGATGGGCGAGAGTGAAAAGGCCGGCAACAAGGGTGTCCCTGGAACTCCAAGAGATGGGGCAGCCATTGAGATTACCGGTCTCATTTACAGCGCCTTGAAATGGGTGGCAGAGCTGCATCAATCTGGATTATATCCGAATCAAGGAGTTTTGGGTCGGGACGGACAATTAATCACGTTCGGAGAGTGGGCACAGAAGATCAAAGATAACTTTGAGCGTTGTTACTTTGTTCCTGAAGATCCGAGCCAGGACAACGACTACGATGTTGACTCTGGTATCGTCAATCGCCGCGGTATCTACAAGGACTTGTATCGGTCTGGCAAGCCCTTTGAGGACTATCAGCTCCGTGCCAACTTCCCGATCGCAATGACTGTTGCCCCGGACCTTTTCACTCCCTCCAAAGCTCTGACTGCCCTTGCGATCGCGGATTCCGCGATCCTAGGACCCATTGGGATCGCTACCCTGGATCCATCAGACCTCAATTACCGACCCAACTACCATAATTCTGAAGATTCTACCGACTTTGCCACCTCCAAGGGCAGGAACTACCACCAGGGACCCGAGTGGGTTTGGCAACGGGGATTCTTCCTCCGGGCATTCTTGCACTTCGATCTACTCCGTCGAGAGACTCCCGAAGCTCGAACTGAATCCTTCCAGCAAGTAACCAGAAGATTGGAAGGCTGCAAGCGCGCGTTGAGGGAAAGCCCCTGGAAGGGTCTAACTGAGCTGACCAACCAAAACGGCGCTCTTTGCAGCGACTCGGTATGTCTATCGACTTTCATCTAATGCCATTTGCCTTCTTCTCCCTCTGTTTCTAGGTTGCTAACACGTCTCCACCAACAGTCACCTACGCAAGCTTGGTCTGCAGGCTGTCTTCTGGACCTCTACTACGATGCGTCGAAACTGACAGCTGAAGCTGGTAAATAGCGAGCGATCTAGATATATAACACTTGGCATCAATTTCCACATCAATTGTCCATATGCCAACTATATAATATCATCTACATCTACCAAATAACCGAGGAATTGTTCTTGAATCAACGTGCTGTAAATACAAGTAGCTGAGTCAGCAGGGTTGGGCAACACTTGGCGCCGGGATCGGGATCTGCAAACCGCCATCATCGTGCAGGACGCAAACATCAAATGCTGGGAGCGCTCTCTGTTCCCCTCGCCGTGTAAAGAGTTCGTGTTGGAGTTGATCTTTATATACGGGCTTATATGCTCATTTGCTTCTTCTTTGCCCTTATTTCTAATCATTGCTGTCTTTGCTGTATAGCTATTTGACGTCACTTGATTGTTCGACGTACCTCCGCGATCGCCCGGACGTTGTACGTACGCCACATGTTCCAATAAATAAACGCGCCTACCCAAATCCACGATCCAGCAGAATACCTAGTGATTGATCTTTGTATCGATACAGAAGGGAAGAGCAAGTGTTCCGCCATGTCTCTGCCAGTCTCGGTCGCGACAGCTCTGCTGAGCGAGGCGACGATCGTCATGTTTGACAACAGTTCCGACCCTATCCACGAGCCATGGACAGACCAAACAAAGAGCCAGCGCGATCTCTACACACAGCTGGTAATCAGCTCGACAATCGGGATGGGCGCGTTTCTATCGTTCTGTGTACGTCTCGGAGCTTTTCTTCCATGTCACATACTCGGTCAGACCGCTTGCTAACTATGGATGAATCCGTCTAGCTTCTACGTCCCAAATGGCGAGATCTCTATGCGGCGAGACGAAGGAAACGTAACGCTGCGTCTCATTTACCCGAGCTGCCGGATAGCTTCTTTGGTTGGATTCCGGCTCTATATCGGATCACGGAGGAGCAGGTGCTGGAATCGGCCGGTTTAGATGCATATGTTGTAGGTGCTAAGCTTGCATGGATCGAAAGATGATCGGAATATACTAACCACCCTGACATCTAGTTTCTTTCCTTCCTCCAATTTGCGATTCGATTTCTCTCTGCTATTTTCGTCTTCGCCGTTGCGATCATCCTCCCAATCCATTACAGCTACACAGGCCACTCGGGGATTCCAGGCTGGGACGACGATGACAATACCGATGCCGATGACGACGGGAAGGGAAAAAAGAAGGTGGTAACAGATCCGACATATCTGTGGATGTACGTGGTGTTTGCATACGTCTTCACCGCGCTTGGAGTGTACCTGCTTCACCAGCAGACGAAGAGAATTATCCACACGCGACAAACGTATCTTGGCAGTCAAACCAGCACCACGGATCGCACCATTCGGCTCGCTGGGATCCCACCCGATATGAGGTCTGAAGAAAAGGTAAAGGACTTCTTGGAAGGGCTGAAAATCGGCAAGGTGGAGAGCGTGACCTTGTGTTGCGATTGGAGGGAGCTTGACCTGTTGATCGATGAGCGGTGGAAGATCCTGAAGCGTCTAGAACAGGCATGGACGAAATATCTCGGATATAAACGACCAAAAGGAGGTGATGATTCACTGCCCCTAGTGCACCGACAAGGCCTTGGAGCTAGTCTAGTGTTGGATCGGGATGATGAGCAGTCCGAGCCTTTAATTTCGAATGGCCGCAGCCTTGTCTCTGATTATTCCGAAACACGGCCCAAAGTCCGCCTTTGGTACGGCCCTTTCAAGCTACGATATCGATCTATCGATGCAATCGATTATTACGAGGAGAAACTGCGCAGGATTGATGACAGGATCCAGGACGCCCGGAAAAAGGACTACCCTCCAACTGAGCTTGCCTTTGTGACTATGGAGTCTATTGCTGCTTCACAAATGCTGGTTCAGGCTACTTTGGATCCTCACCCGATGCAACTGTTCGCTCGCCTTGCACCGGCACCCGCAGATGTGGTCTGGAAAAACACATATGTTCCGCGGTCGAGACGTGTGATGCAGTCCTGGTTCATCACGGGTGTCATTGGATTCCTCACGGTCTTCTGGTCGGTTCTCTTGATTCCAGTCGCTTATCTGCTGGAGATCGAAACGCTGCATAAAGTGTTTCCGCAGCTCGCCGACGCCCTATCCGAACATCCTCTCGCTAAATCGCTAGTCCAAACTGGTCTGCCAACCTTGGTCCTCTCTCTGTTGACCGTTGCTGTCCCATACCTGTATAACTGTAGGGATCCCCTCTTTTTTTTTCCCCGTTGAATTACCTGACTGACTAACCGCTGCTACAGGGCTGTCGGGTTTCCAAGGCATGATGTCTCGCGGCGAAGTCGAGCTGTCCGTGATCTCCAAGAACTTTTTCTTCTCCTTCTTCAATCTGTTTCTTGTCTTCACCGTCTTCGGGACGGCAACGAATTTCTACGGTTTATGGGAGAATCTTCGGGATGCGTTCAAAGACGCGACAACGATCGCCTTTGCCCTCGCCAAATCATTAGAGAATCTCTCGCCTTTCTACATCAATTTCCTGGTGCTGCAAAGCCTTGGTCTTTTCCCATTCCGTCTTCTCGAATTTGGCAGTGTGGCCATGTATCCGATCCACTTTCTCTCTGCGAAAACACCCCGCGACTATGCTGAGTTGCAAACACCCCCTACGTTCAGCTACGGCTATTCCATCCCCCAGACGATTCTCATTCTTGTGATCTGCGTGGTATACAGTGTCTTTCCAAGTTCGTGGTTGATTTGTCTATTTGGCCTGGTGTATTTCACCGTCGGCAAATTCATCTACAAGTATCAGCTCCTATACGCCATGGACCACCAGCACCATTCGACAGGCCGTGCCTGGCCGATAATTTGCAACCGATTCTTCGGCGGGTTGGTCGTCTTCCAGTTGGCGATGATTGGGGTTCTGGCTCTGCGCAAAGCCATCACACGGTCGTTGCTCTTGGTCCCCCTTCTCGCCATGACGGTGTGGTTCACGTACTGGTTTTCCAACACCTACGAACCGCTGATGAAGTTCATCGCGTTGAAGGCGATTGATCGAACCGTGCCCGGGGGGGGAGAAATCTCACCATCCCCCTCGTCGACTTTCTCCCCACCTGCTGGCCTCGACCGGGACTTTCTCCCGCTCCGCATCGGGGGGCAAGAGCTTGGTCTGCGGTTGAAGAAATACATGAACCCGAGCCTCATTCTGCCCTTGCATGATGCGTGGATTCCTGGTCAGCCGACCCCGGACGAAACCTCTCGTTCCCTATATGACAGCCAGGAGCCGTCTCCTTAGGAACCCCCAAAGCATTATACAAGCTTGTTGTTGTTTTTGTTTATTGCCAGATCCATTTACTCTCACTGACCCAAGTCAGAAGACCTTCGTTCTAATTATATCCTTGCATACCTATCTTTTT